GTGTGTGTGTTTTTTTCTTGTTTTCTTTTTCTTTTGGCATGTCAAAAAAGGAGACAATTTTTTTTCAGCAGCTTTGATCCACTCTGCCCCAGAAAAATTCTTTGATCTGCCTGATTTTTACTACATCGGATTTTATATGCATTATTGCTCTTACATGTATGGATGCTTACACATGAGAGAGAGAAAGAGAGAGAATATCCTTGTATTGAAAATGCAAAAAATATTTATCTATAATCTTGCGGTTAAGGTTTCAAGTAATCCTTAAATTATCTTTTAAAATTTTTTTCAAAATGCAAGAAATTGAATGGATACCAAATTTTAGACTTCCTGAGGAAACTCTTCAATCTGGAAAGGCATATAAAACGGGACAGGCATGTAGCACCGTTTCTCAAAATGTGTGTATGCGAGGGGGAGCGGGGGGGGGGCAGTAAAATGATTGACAAGCAAAAGAAAAACTTAAGGCTTTTAAACATGGGGGGGGGAGTAAAGAGGAAAGCAGGCATAAAAAAAATACGTAGTCAGGGGATTTGAGTACAATGTACAATAATGTTGGATGAGAATGGGCGGGGGGGGGGGGCAGTCTTAATTTAAAAAAGTCCTTACAAAATCAACCGTAAAAGACAGACCTGTAGAACGCGTGGGTGGGAGATGCCCCCTCCCACTTTTTTCCGACCATAATGTTTTACTGTTTAGTATGAAATACAAACTCAAAGGCTGATCCCCTCCACTTTTTGTTGCACTATAGTCAAATCGTCGAAAAAGCCCCCCACCCCCCACCCCCCACCGCCACAAAATAGGATTTGGGAGATTTTTATTTATTTTTTTTTTATTTATTATTATTATAATAATTATTATTATTATTTTTATTATTATTTTTTTTTGTCAAAGATTTTTCAGGTAAAGTGTCAATTATTTCTTAGATGCTACGTGTCTGAAAGATAATCTAAGAAAATGGAGTTAACCCCCCCCCCCTTCCACATGTGTGTATATTTGTTAATTTGTGTTTTGGTTAAATGCTTTCATGTCATGTTCTACATCATTTTCTTAAACCAAATTACTCAGTTTAGTTTATAGATAATCAGCAATCAGATTTTTTTTTGCGATTTCTTATTTTTTACCCAGTCGCGCAAATACTAATTCCCTTTTTCACTTTTTATATTTTCCCTGACCAAAATCTGATCAGCACGGACTAAGTGTATTTGAGTGCTAGGCTGTACGATGAAGTGACAACGTGTTTATGGAGTTTATTACTTTTTCGTGATGCATATTTCAATAAATGGAATACAAGGTGTAAATCACTCGGCATGTGCACATTTTCGAACGAGTACAGTGGTCTATTTCCAGGTATGAATAAGTTTACAGTGTTCGACGCGTTCTCTCGATATGCATCAATTATATTTGAATGCATATGGACATGCATAGCAAATACGCTGGTTGTTTGTTCCATTCTTACGATAGATTATTGCAAATCGTTTGTACGAGTTTTACTGTGTATTATTTCAAGTTTATTGTGCATATATTAGTATGCTTTTAAAAAACATGCGCAACTATGTTTTTTTCTTCCAAACTTGCATTTATATTATTCAAAACGATAATTATTCATAATTATCGTTATGACTGTTTTTATCTGTTCTGGTATTAAAATGTTTTCATCAATTCATGTGTTCCCAAATACTATACTATCGGAGATGTGCACGCGTCGATAGCCAAACCAAAAATTCACTCAAGTGTAACGAGGGCACTGGGGTATATATCGTTACAATAAGACAAGGTATCTGAAAGAAATATGGCGGAATAGTTGGTTTGAAACAAGTCGTACATGATTGATGCAAATGTTGCGTTTTTAAGAATTCATGTCAGCTTTAAGACTCGGGTGAGAGATTAAAATATTTTGGATGAGTAAGGTCGTAAAGACGTCAGTAACGTTGTCATGCGGCGATAGGCGTATCATTATTATATTTCAAAAGTATTATATATATATATATATATATATATATATATATATATATATATATATATATATATATATATATATATATATATATATAATGAAATTTTCAGGCAACAGTCAAAATAGATTGAGGTATTTCTGCAAAATATTGTAACAAAGAAAAAATATTACATCATTTATTCTGAGATTTCTAATAATAAAATATAAACTGACAATATAAACAAAAATAACAACATAACACAAACGCATTGATATTCAAATGAAATATTATGCACATTCTCGCTTAAGTCAATCTCACAATATCACTTGTTCATAATGCCCCTCGTAAAGAAAATAATGTATATGTACATGTATCTTTGAAAACAACGAAAATTTGGTAAAATTGTCAGGATAGAAATATTATTGGTTGCAACATAATCTAGATCAAAATTTAGCAACATTTAGAAACATCAGTCCTCAGTTTTGTTCATGGAGAATGATAATCCCTCATTCTCACAGTAATTTGTGGGTACCTGCCCCACTGGATTTCAGAAAAAAAGGTCCTTAATCGAAAAATATTAAACAACGGCAGATTTTTTCAGGTTCTCGTCCGAGTCCGTTATTCTCGCGGATTTTGCAGGACTTCTGAAATGACGCCAAATCAAGCTGAAAACTTTAGCACCGAGACACAACAGAGCAATGACGATCATGACAATTGTCATGATGGAGTTTCTAGAACCTGCTTTGTAGTTTTTAGCTAAACTAGCTCCTAGTGCAAGAGGGACAACACACCACGGTGTAACTGTGTAGCGGGTGTACCGATCTAGGAAGGCAATGTCTACAACAGTGTAGGCCAAAACTTCAACCACCAAGATCGAAAGAGCAACTGTGCATGCGTCATCATTGTCCACTCCGGGGTTTCCTTTATAGATCATTACCATCGCCATGTTCAGAAGAGTGGCAATGGTTGTCCACGCCGCGTAGACACTGAGTCCATTCTGAACCATGATTCGGATGCACCAGATATCGAGGTTTCTGCCATCTTTTCTTAAAAACTCGATGTTTTTATCAAGGTGTCGATAAGAAATGAACAAACACACATACAAAGTGAAGGCTATGAAAAACAGGACTGGGAACGCTATGATGATTTCTTCTCTATCGAATAGAAGAATCCAGGACAGGTTGAGGCTCATGTTGATGATGAAGGTGACGAAAAAAGTCCATGGTAAGAGGATTGGATTGCAGTAGAGGGGACCATTCTCCGTTTTCCGGAACAGATTGACAATAGTATAAACAATCCACACCGCTTCCCATATGTAGATTACACCCCAGATACTGAACATCCATCCGGCCGGAGTAATGTTTACCTCATACTTATCCGAAATAGATCCGGTGCTGCTCTTAAATATCCCTGTCAAATACGGTATTAATTAACATTAATAGACATTTTGGTTGTTATCAAAAAGAATTACTTCAGGGAACGCTATGCATATAAACCTTACCTAGTTTTTGCCCGGTCTCTCCTGACAAGGAGTTGAATATAGTAGCTACCGCATACACAATCGGATTAATGACAGTTAGAACTATCAGAGGTATGTTATGAGCCATGTTGTGCTGTAAAATAACAAAAAAAGTGCTCTTAACGATTACACACCATTATGTCTCAACAAATTTATGAACGGTGTAGATCTAAAGAATAGTCGTACATATCCATATTTTTATTTTTAAGATTTTCAAAAACAATGTTCGAATCAGTTCACACTCCGTTTTTAGATATACTAAAAAGGAATTAAAAGAATCAATACAGTTTATTTTATTTAACTTACGTGATTTTTTTTTTTAGTTATTCCCACTTTCTACGTTGATGTCCTGTCCGTTATAGAGTCAATGTTATTGTACTGCGAACACATGGACAAACACATGTTTATATAAAGTCTAGCGTTACACAACCTTAAGTTGTTGTCCTGTCATGGTATGGTAACCTGTACGTGATAAAAGCTAGTAAAAATTCTGTCCCCAATCTTCTGTAATTCAGTAATTATGACGTCAAATCATGGGTATTTAGTATTGTTAAGTTTTGTAGCTCTGCAATCTGAAATCAAACTTTAGAATACAATATAAGAATATAAAAAAGGAAGTACTGTTATTTTTATATATTTTATACCCGTACATTTACCTGCGTTTTATTGATCCACGTGTCTTACCGCGTGATCGATTAGCGACACGGGTCATACTACAGGTATTATTCAGGTTGACCCTGGCCAAATTTTTCTTTCAAAATCAGTCAACTGCAAAAGAATGTGTCATGGCAAAAATTGAACTGGAAAGGTAACGTTTCATATCCCTAAGAAAGGGTAGCCTAGGTGTTTCGTTTACTGTGTTTCTGTATGAACCAAAACAAAGTTGCATTTAATATGAAAGTGAGTTCGTTGTTATAAAAGATGTACATCTAAGAATTGACTTTTGAAGTTAATATCCAACAATGTATTTTCACCAGAAATGATTTGATTTTAGAGAATGCAGTGAATGGATACATTTGGAAGAGTCTTTGTACATCTAAAAATATACCGATTTGTAAAATAAATGATAGTATGTTTCAGTAAATAAATTTTTAAAAATCTATTGGTATATAGATGATTCGCCGAGGAGAAAAAGGTAAAAAAGAAATTTAACCGTGTATCAACATACACACACCCTTCTTCCTATAAAACGGCAGATAGTTAAACTCTTAAATTTCTTCAATCAATATATATACATGATTTATGATATGATATATGTGTCATACTTTGATAAACAAATTCATAAACAAGGACACGGATACTTGTAGTATTCATGACGTAATAAGGACACGTGAACCCAAAGTACTGTCGCTCGTACTGACAGACTAAAAGCAAGAATGCCGGTCACCGGTACACATAAAAAGTTTCATAACAGAAATAAATTGTTCAAACTGAATTGTAGGGAGGATTGTCGAACGTTTTATAACTAAACTGAATTATTCAGACCAAATTTAAGGACTTTGTTTATTTCGGTAGACGATTTTATAAAGACTTTTCATTTTGATAATTAGTCTCACATCTTTGGGTCATGGTGCCTAAATACCTTTGTGATGAGATCAACTTCCGACTCTGTCCGGAAAAGATTCGAAAATACTATTCGATCAGTGTAATATGGAAATAAAGGAATTGATTGATTGATTATGGCAACTGAGTGGACTACAGCAGCTGTACCCTGTAGTTCTACTAGGAAATGAGAATGGAAACTGATTATCTTTGTGAAATTTGGGACCTATTGTATCAACTGTCCAGACAAGCCGTAGGAACCTCCATATAAAATTTTAAAAAGGTTGTAATAACAACTTGACAAAACGTTTCTATCACAGTTAATAGCGTCACTTGTTCTTCAACAATCGCTTTGTCCTGTAATATTTGTTGTCTTAATTAATTGCTATCACGACTTTTTAAATAAGGCGAATCTACATCTGCAGAGAAATCTTCCAATTTACTGGATCGAAACATCATTGCTTAAATTTGTACATAACCACTTCACACCAGAAAGCTTTCTAAAATTTATCTGAACTTACAAATATCTGTTTGTACATTGTGCTTTATAATATTACACAGAAATTAAGCACTGAACACCCCATGCAGAGCTACTGTGTTAAAGCTATTCTCTGCAATTCACCTGGACTTTGGAATGTAACAGTTATAGGATTTTACAAAGAATCAGAAGAACAGGGAAAAAAAATGTTGTTATTTTCTTGCGAAAATGTTCAATTTTACTGGAAAGATTTATAGTTAGCAGATTTCAAATTCCCCATCGAAGATGGGCGATTAATTTGAGAGGTACTCCTGGAAGTCAATGTCTTGACCTCCTGTCTTTGAATTCCTATAATGAATAACTTCCAGTTTTGCAATTTTTTTCGAGGAAGAATATTTTAATGTCTGTCCAACAATTAATGCATACAAACTTGCACGTGAATGAATTAGAATTCACAGTAAATATTGAGGACACTTGTGGTATGCGCACTGCCTGGGGAACTGGGGCACCGTCTTAGTTAGTGCAGGAAAATTAACATATTATAACTGTTTGTTAAAGGTCAAGAATGAATTTACGTCAGCAAGATAGCATATGGTATGCACATTACATAAAGCGTATGGAAATGTGAAAACTAATTCTTATACGCCTTCCAATGTGTAACGAAATGGGGAAAAAATAAATAAATAAAACATGTATCCCCCCTCGGTGTGGCAATATTATAAAGGATACACAACTTTAGTTTAAGAATGTCTGTAAGGGCAGATTATTCAGATTATATCTTTGTTTTCTGACCTTGAAATCAATCCAAAACTCGTTTTATTGAAATCAGAACGAAACTGTAAAAGGAATAGATTTTTTAAAAAGAATTTCACAGAAATTTCTATCTGGTTTTAAAATCATGTTAAAACCGTTGATGATTATTTTAAATCTTAAATTGATAAATATAACTATCCAAAATGTAGTGTACTTATTTGACATGTTTTACTGAAATCAGACTAAAACTGTAGGAGGAGTGGCATTTTTGAAAGAATTTTAAAGAAACAAGCTAATTCAGAGAATATGTGTCTCCCGCTTAAGGAAAAAAGAAGAGGATGGAAGAACTGGAAAAATTTTGCAGATGGAGAAAGGAAAAAAGGTCAACCTTGACCGTTCAGCTTTTGGCCTTTAAGTTAATGGGAGTCTTTTTTAAGTTAAAGAAATTCATGACCAAAAGTTTCATTACAAAAGCTTACAGAAAAAATAAAATTATATATTATCTGAAAACTATATATGCAATATTTCTGACCTTGACCTTTGGACCTCAACATCAATATGATATTTTTAAGGCCATGGCAAGCTGTGATATATAATTTCATTGCAAAATCTCATAGGCTTTTTAAGATTTAGTCTGGGAAAAAGTGTTACACAGAATGCATAAATTTATGACCTTGATCTCTTTACCTTTTGACCTCAAAATTAATAGGGGTCTTCTTTTCGTCATAGGGAGTTGTGATATTAAATTTTATTGAAAAAAGCTCAAAGAAAACTAAAGTTAATTATCATGTGGAAAATGATATTTGTAATATATGAATTTCTTACCTTTATGTTACACACAAAGCAAATGTATGAATTTATGACCTTGTCCTTTGACCTATTGACATCAAAATCAATAGGGGGTCTTCCTTAGGTCATAGGAAGTTGTGTTATAACAAATCTTTATTGCAAAAGCTCAACGGATTTTTGAGATATCGTCTGAAAACGAAAGTGTTACCGACAGAATGACAGACAGACGGACGGACAGGTGGGCCCAAATTAATATTCCCCCTTTCAGTGAAAGCGGGGGACAAAATAAATCTCTTTGAGTAATCATGGTAACAACGTTCATTAAAATAAAGAATTAATCTTAGTGTAGTATACTTGTTGAAATCAAACCAAAACTGATGACTTGACAGAAAAATAATTGACAAAGAAAAATAAAAAGCCTGAAAAGAAATTTATCAGAAAAATAGAAAACTACCTAAATTCCAATCGTGAAGATGAATGCAGGACTCGCTCCAAAGGCTTTTTGAGATATCGTCTGAAATGGCATTTTGGATGTACAAAATTAACCGCAAAAGACTATTCTCAGAAAGTGGGGACAGCTCCTCTGTCCCTCCCCCCCTTCCCGATACTTTGTTCCTTCAATTTGACTATCGAGACCTTGCTGTGGATATATGCATAGTTACCTGTACAAGAGTGGGTCCAAAATTGTAGGATGCATGTCGATCATTTTGTTGTAAGAGGTCATACCTCCATCACTGTGCATGTTTTGATTAGTGCATGCAATCATGTGTACCTGTTGATAAATATATGTACTATTATTCAAATATATTTTTTAGAGGATTTCTAGTTAAGGTTCAAATCCAATATTTTTTCTACAAACTTTGGAACACCAGTCGTATACGAAAAGCACCTGAACCTTTCAGCATAGAGAATGAACTGAAGTAAACTTCAGAAAACTTCATATTATGACCAATGGTTCACTAATATTCATAAAATAACCCACAAGATTTATGTCAATATTTATTTTTATTTAAATGCAAACTTTATTGTAGATTTCTTGGACATTTTAAATTTGGTTCTTTATTATTCATATAAGTAAATATAAATACATGTATGCAGGTTTCTTCAAACATCAATAAATGCCTTAAGTTCACCTTGACTACAGAATGTGTCAAAATGCAGCAGTGCGGCATATATCCATGGAAAATAGAACAATTTATTAAACACACACACACCCTCACAATTTTTTCTTTTTTAACCGGTATCATGAACAATCTATATCATTTTCCAAAAACATTTTATTCTTCCAAAATATGCTAACATACACGTATATAAAAATATGTACATGTAAATAAAAACATTATGCACATCCTCGCATGTGGATTACAACTACCATCAAAAATCTCCTTCTGCCATGACAGAGATTCATCATTAAAAATTTGCTAAATACAAGCGTTCAAATTATTGGATGGATGTTTGCGTAAATTTTAAAAATGGAAGGACAAACAGTGACTAAAAGTGAGCTAAATAGCATGTATACTAAATTATACCACAAAAAACGATTGCAATGATTCACTTCGTTTTCCGTTGGAAATACCAATCCTTTAGCATCTGCAAAATATCAGTTTATACAACATTTGATTTCTTTTTCTTCAAGTCGTCATATGATTCTGTTATTAACCCCGATTTTGTGGTACTTCTGAGTTCGCGCCAAAGCAAGGTGAACATTTTTGCGACAAGACACACCACAGACAGAGAAATCATGACAATCGTCAAAATGGAATTTCTGGAACCAGCTTTGTAGTTTTTGGCTAAACTGGCACCAAGTGCAATTGGGACCACAAACCAAGGTGTTACGGTGTACCTAGTGTACCGATCTAGAAAGACAATGTCTACGAATGTGTATCCCAATAGTTCAACCGCCAGGATGGAAAGAGCAACAGTGCTTGCGTCATCATTGGCCACGCGGGGGTTTCCTTTATAGATCATCACTATCGCCATGTTAATGAGGGTAGCAATGGTGGTCCAGGTGGCATAGACCCCGAGTCCATTCTGGACCATGATGCGGATACACCAAATGTCCACTTTTCTGCCGTCTTTCCTCAGAAAGTCAATGTTTTTATCAAGGTGCCGATAAGATATGAACATACACACGTACAAAGTGAATGCAATAAAAAACAAGACCGGAAATGCAATAATCATTTGTTCTCTGTCGAACAAAAATATCCAGGCTAAGTTCAGACTCATATTGATGATGAAAAAGAAGAAAAATGACCAAGGTAGAAGAGTTGGATTGCAGTAGAGGGGGCCATTTTCTGTTTTCCGGAACAGATTGACAATGGTGTAGACAATCCACACCGCCTCCCATACATATATTACACCCCAGATACTGAACATCCACCCTGCCGGAGTAATTTCCACGTAGTACTTATCAGAAATGTTTCCCGTCTCGCTCTTGAAGATTCCTTTAAAAATAAATCAAGACATTATGACTTTATGAATCATCCATTATAAGCAAAGATACCATAAAAAACATAACTAATATTAATCTTAGATACTTAAAAATTGAATGTTTTTCGAGGGACAACACCGATTATAGGGTATACCACAGGTGCTCGAGGACAGGACCTCCCCCCCCCCCCCCCGGGATATACACCCCGGGCCTTTTCGACTTTTTTCTCATAAATTATTCTTCAATGACATATTTGTGATATAATCTATACCTACAATTCGAAAAATTACCTAAAACAAACATTTTATAAAATCTACCCCACTCTATATATAAATTTATATATATAGAGTGGGGTATTAATTTTTATAAAATGTGCCATTTTTCTGAATTGATGATATAGATTATATCACAAATGTGTCATCCATATATAATTTATGAGAAAAAAAGTCGAATAGGTAAGGCCCTGGAGTCTAGGGGGCGGGGGGGGGGGGGGTCCTGTCCTCAAGCACCTGTGGGGTATACAATAAAACAGGATAATTGCTCATGCAGTTTACAATGCAATGCACCAGGATAAAAGATATATCCAAAATTTTAACTTACCAAGTTTGACCCCAGTACTCCCTGCGAAGGCGTTGAATATTGTTGCCACTCCATAAACTATTGCATTAATGAGAATTAGGAATAGCAGAGGCACGTTGTGAGCCATTTTATACTGAAAGGCAAAATAAAGTAATGAAATCTTTTTTCAAACCCAATGTCTGGTCTTAAGAAACCTTTACCGTAAAACGATAAACTTCTTTAGATTGGTTCTGTAGGAAATGGCCCATTCTATTATTACTTCGTTATATTTTTTGTTTCAAATTTTTATAATAATTAAGTTGATATTCGTTTTAAAACAGTATTTAATGTGTTCAAGAGAGCGCGAATTTTATCACAATGTTAGATTCTTATAATACTATACTTACATAAGTTTATGTAATCCCTATTGTATAGAAAAGGTTAATGTCCTTATACCAGGTCGACAGTACTGCAATATTACATGTACTTGTCTTCAAAGTTTTCTGTATGTTTTATATCAGTCAGTTACACAACTTTTGTGACGGAGTCAGGGTACGGTAACTCGCACGTGATAAATGTAAACATCTTCGTGAAAGCTAGTTGAATCGTTACGTCAAAAATAAAAAATAGAAAAATTAATAAATTTAAAAAAAAAAGAAGAGATTTTTCTACTTGCATTCCAAATTAATTTATTAAGGATGGGAATTATATAACTCATTTATTTGACAATTGTTAATTAACCGATTTTATGTTAACATAAAGGGACGATTAGGTTTTAAAATGTAGAATTTCAAATTGTTTATACCCCTACTGTGTAAATATTTACCGTCTTTTTGAGATGCACATGTCTCACCTCGTGGTATGAGTTGAAGCGACACGGATCAACTGATTCTAATGAATCAATATTTGGATTTATTGGTTGTCGTAGGATTTATATCTTTTCAAAACTAGTCAGAAAAAGTCTTTTAGATTGAACTTATATGTAAATATTGACATATATTTAAAATTCTGCGAACAGAAAAACATAAATTACAGTTTCTTAACTGTTCAAACAAAACATTTGTATATATGCTGTACATATTCACATTTAACATGTACATAAATTTCAATCTGACATAGTAGAAAGCACTTAGCATATGCATAATGCATGTCAAATAAATATCACCGTGAAAAATTCACTGTTCAAAAAAAGAACTTTATTTTGGACTTTACTTTTCAATTTCTAAGTTGTGTCATATTTTATTTCTCACGATATGTTTCGCGAATCTAATTGTTTAATTGACCAGTGACACTTTTTGGACTCTTGATCTGTTGTTACAAAGAGACAGAGTGCTATGCCTCAAGAACTGTTAATCTCTAAAAACAACACTGTGTAATTATCTGGGTTTTTTTATGTCCAAACATCAAAGCGTCATTAAGTTTATTTAATTAATCCATACCTGTGAATCTTTCACTCATTTTACTAAATGTCAACACCTGTCATTTATTTACTCATTATGTACATTCTTATAAATAGTCATGTATAATTTCAATCATTAGTCTGGAATATACGAAAGGCCAGTCTCGGCCACGACCGACTCGTAAGGACTCTGAGTTCGGAGGCCACTTCGGCCACAGATCCGACTCGATCATTTTTTATATGTCTGTTTGTTGATTTGTGTAAACTGTTGCCATCGTTGAGTCTCGTCTAATAAATACGGAATCCTTCATCATTTGTTTTATCTCTGGAATTGCATATTGGTGGACCTTCGGGAATACGGCACACCTATACTTCGTTTTTACCTTACGGCCACACAGCGCCTCTACCTATACCTTGTACCCCTACGCCAACATTCCCTCACCCCGTTCGTTCTGCAGACAACGGATGCAGTTCCAGACGAATTCCTAAGTACCGTCCAAATCTACACGGTCACATAAACATGAATAAACTACATATAACAGCGATATTTCAAAAGTTCTAATGTACGAAATTTTCATAAAATCATTTAGTCTTTCAATGTTGTAAAATATTGATTTCTTAAAATCTTGATGAATTTTCTTTATTTACAGAGTACGGGATAAAAGGATGCAGTTTTTTGTTTGTTTTGTTTTGTTTTGTTTTTTTTTACTGAAATCATACGAGAAAATAAATAATTATCCGTATACCGAGCTATATTTGTAATACTCATTGTAAAAAAAAAATCTGTATAGGGGGTGCCTAGTGAATTTGTGTGAGTTATGAGGACAATTGTCCTTGGGTGAGATCGGACAAGTGGGGCCACTAGGACAGAGGAAATGAACATTTTATAACTGTGTTAAAGGTACATATTTCATCTTTGTTGTATAATTGCATCGTCAGTATGAGGGCATGTACACCTACGTATAACTGAACACTAAAATGTAAAAGTTTACGAGCTACATGCGCAAATTGTGTTGTCAATGATTTTTTGAGGGGGATATTCTTATAGTGAAATTCATTGGCGTCGCGGATCCAGAAAACATTGTGGGGAGTGGTGACCATAACGGAGGAAATCAGGAGACCTCATGCATTTTGGAAATTATCTTCAGAACGTTTAAAATTAAGCCAATAAGTTAAGAAATTGTTAAAACGAATTTAATTAATCAATAAAAGGCTTTCTTTGGTTGTTAGTAGGGGAATTAATTGTGCAGCTGTTGCAGAAAAAATGCACAACCTGCGCAAGCGGGTTATGTTTTTTTCTGCAATAGCTGCAACGTTAATTCCCGTACTAACAAACAAAGAAAATTTATTGTTTATATTTATATCTGTGCAAATAATCATTGAAAGTTGGATTTTGTAGATGAAATGGTGTATTAAAAAAAAATATTGATAAGTACGTCATTGTACGTTTTATTGATGGAACAGCCACTGCTCCAGAAATATGCTAAGAAGTGTTTACGGACTGATAAACGGCAATGGTTTTCTTAAGAAATAAAGGAGATAATATTCAGTAGATGTAAATATTTCGTTACAACATGTACTGAAAATTTATTACAGATTAAATTCGTTATAACGAATTCTATAAAATTGATATAACGAATCAAATTCATTTTTTTTGACGATTCATTATATCAAATGCCAGACTTTGTTGTGAATTGACTTTTATTTTTATATTATTTTAGTGGTTTATATTATTTTAGTGTTAATTAAAAATGATTGAAATACTTAATTGACACATTTGTTTGTAAAGAACTGTTTAGATTGTTTTTCGCATCTGCAATATACATATTATGTGAGAGTCGCGGAGTAAGGAGTTGATCCTTACGTCGCGGGTTCGAATCCCACTGTGGGACGTGGAGACCGGTCCTTCGGATGAGATGTAAACCGAGGTCCCGCGTCGCAGTAGGTGCTGGCACGAAAAAGATTCCTCACTGCTCAATGGCCGTAAGTGCCGAGTATATGACAAAATTTGCAGCTCTCCACCGGCAAGTGGTGGCGTCTCCATATGAGTGAAAAATTCTCTCGAGGGATGTTAAACAACATACAAACAAACAAACATATTATATGCGGAATCCGATCTATGGATCGGATAAATAAAACGTTTTATACATTTCAGTAGAGTTAGAGGGGCGTGTACACGATTTTGAATTTCTCTTTTTTAATTAAAAAATAACTACAGATTAAAAATTTTAACCAATACATGAAAATTCTTAATATTCAGTTGACAAGGGCATTCTTTATAATTTTATATCGAACATCTTGGCTGAGTTCTTAACGTTTTCCCTATCTTTGCTAGCCAAGGGTTTTCGATCCACTCCTCTCCAATATTCTTGGAGAGGAGGGGAGCGGATCGTAAACCCTTGGATAGGGAAGATGCGTTTTAAATGTACCTTATGTGTGCGATTTACTATCATTGAACAGGAACTGACAACACATGGTGGTTTATATGTCCCTGGTTTTGCTTTCTTGCATTTCTTTTCTAACTTTATTTGATTATAGTTTTCATATGTATGTTTTATTAATAAACTACACACCTTAGGCGAACGAGTTTTAGAGGACTCCGGGCAAGTTTTAGAGGAGTTTTCCCTCACAAAAAAATACTATAGTTAACTATAGTTTACTATAGTTAACTATAGTAAATCAAAGTGTCAAAGTTATCACTATAGTAAATCAAAGTTTTCAAAGTGATCACTATAGTGTCAAAGTGATCACAATGGTAAATCAAAGTTTTCAAAGTGATCACTATAGTGTCATAGTTATCACTATAGTAAATCAAAGTTTTCACCAAAGTAAATCAAAGTTTTCATAGTTATCACTTTAGTAAATCAAAGTGTCAAAGTTATCACTATAGTAAATCAAAGTTTTCATAGTGTCAAAGTTATCACTATAGTTAACTATAGTTAACTACAGTATTTTTTTGTTAGGGTTAGGACTCCGGGAGAATGAGAACGAAAGACGTAAAGGGCGAAAGCGTTTTAGGGCAAACAATAATACATTCATCAACTCATTAACAATCAGTTAAACTAGTTAGAACCGGTTTTTAAAGCCACTTGATTAAAAAAATTCTTAACAAGTGGACTCTTCCATCAATGTACATGTAATGCACGGACTAATAATACAAAATTTTACATACTTTTATCCACTTTATACAAATAATTTACACAGATATAAATATAAATAAAATATCTTTCTTTCTTTGTTAATGCGGGGATACAGTTACCATCATTGCAGAAAAAAATTACATTTGCCGTTTACATGGGTTATGTATTTTTTCTGCAATGCCACAACCGTGATATCCGCATTAACAAAGATAGCTTATTTTAGTAACTACATCTCTAAATGATAATCTAATTTGAATTACATTAAAAATTACAAAAAGAATCAGGAAAATAACATTTATTGTGGCAATAAACATCTATTATGATTTCCTGAACAATACAATGAATACTGTATTAAGACTTAAAAAAAATATGAAGTTAAATATACATGCTTCTACCCACATTTCCGTTTTGGATTTCAATAAATATTTATATTTAAAAATATAAATAAACATGTATGCATATTAGACATTTTGACTTAAAATAAGAACATTGAAGAATATAGTTAGCTCATGATACATTAAATATGTAAAATGACTGCAACACCCAGAACGCTGGGAGGGGGGGGGGCACTTTTTCTGAGTATAGTATTTTGCTATAGTAAATTTTCCTTTATATACTGGTTGGCCCCCTCACTTTTTAGTTAGTTTGGGCCTTTTTTTTTGCTTGTAAGATTTTTTTTTGAAATTTCCCCCCTTTCCACTTTTGAAACCATTGCTACTGGAATTTCCTTTGTAAAGAAAAACAATAAAGTGTATAAAAACAATTGTATTTAGGTACAATGAAATTGCTTAAACTTTGTAACATCTAAAATAATATTTCACTTTTAACACTTTTTTTATATTCCAACATAAAGGGTAGAAAATTGCATCATTAAAATCAAGTTTTTTCTATAATCAGGTATTCTCTACATTTTGAACTACATTTTCATTTCACATGCATTTCACAATATCTCGCAGAAAATTCTGGAATGTTTAGAAGATATAAAAAAGATAAATAAATTCAGTATCACAGTTTGTGGAGTATTTTTTTATAGTTGAAATCAATTTTTCATTCAGCCAGTTAAACCCGTAATTTTTAATGTCCAGGCATCCAAATTAGGCATTTGATTTATAGGTATAACTGGGAACTGGATCTCCATTCCACCACCAGGGTGCGCTTTCCATGTAAAGTTACCCTGGTAACCGAGCATGCTCACTGTAGTGCTTGGGGAAGGAACTGGTGCTCCTAAAACCAGAGTGTTTGTTTTTGGCCAATCAAGCATAATGGCATATACAAATACTCGTCCATTGAGGTATTTAGCAGTGTACCTATATGAATTAAAAATATTCTTCCATGATAGATTTTTGTCATTATTGCACTTGTTTAAAAAAAACATTGATATTTTGAAACAAATTCAAATAACACATTTCACTGAGAACCTTTGAGCTGCTCACATAGGATCTAACAACACCCTGTTTGTGATCATCTCAGATTTCAAGGCCTTTCATTTTAATAGCTAATCAGTGCATCACTTTCTAAATTATCAGAATTAGTAGTCCAACTAATATAACATGATATGTCAGGAATAAACAAAATGACATTAATAAAGTTTGATAAAATCTAGTTAGCTATAATGCCATACAATCCCTTGAATCTGTACTTTGTCATGTTATCTATTATTTTAGTTTCATGTTAAGAGAATCCTGAACATGCTGAATACCAGAGTAAGCTGTTTGTGTATTAATAAGTCTTATTCCCATTAGCTTACATATGATGTCATTGACACTAATAATTTCTTATTATGTATTTACATAAATGTCAATCTGTCTGAGATTAGTCCAAACTGGATATTGTTAGATCCTATGCCACATCAAAGGATTTAATTTTAATAACCTTGCATTTTCTGCTTATTTTTTCACAGAACTTAATCACTGCTGTGCAAAATGCAAAATAACTGTTCATAACTAACACCCCCCCTTTCCAAAAAAGAAAAGAAAACTGAGTAAAATTGAATTAAATCACAAAAGAATTAAATAAAGGGTTGACAAGAATTACCATAGATTCTCTGCAATAGTATCATTCTGGTGTGACCAGGGCTCTGATCCATATATAGCCTCTCCATTGATAGACAGCCAGGCACCCATCTGTCTGAGTCTCTCCTCCTGAACGGGAGGGATTACACCGTCCTTAGTGGGACCAACGTTGAGCAGGAAGTTTCCCCCACAACTGTAATAAAATAACACTCATGGTTTGAACCACAATGAATATGACTTCATTGCAGAAACTACTCCTTTATTAGTGAGTAGGTGTCCTGTAATCTGACATCATACCTTACAGTCCTGGCCAGGTAAGTAAGCAGCTGGTTTATAGATAAATAATCATCAATCCTGGCCCTGCGTCGGAAACCCCAGGAATACTTGTCCATTTCTCTGGCTTCTTCCCACTTCCTCTTCTGCAATTTACCTAATAAGTCAAAAAGATTACCGTTTAATATCAACATATGGGAAAATGAGCATCTGGACACAGCTGGGCCGGTAACATCATGCTTGATTTTAGGAGATCACTATATGCATACAAAATGGAATATAAAGTGATCACATAAAATCAAGGATAGTATGTTACCTGCCCTTGTGCATTTGGGTTTATATTTCATCATCAGCATTATCCGCGACACCACCACTTTCTTAAGTTCAATGGGCTTTATTGTGACTTTTTAGATAAACTTCTCTTGTGATCTTCTTCATGACAGTTTTAAATATTCCAAATCTCGTGAAATTTTTGGGTACAATAGTCATGAATTAATTAACAAATAATGCTACCTTATACAAACCTCAAAACTTGTTTTTAATTTTTGTCAGAATAATCAATGTTTTGCTTTTTCGCTACCACTCCCTGTGCATTTAATGTATCTCCAATACAAAAGAGTTCCTATACAGAAGGTAATCAGGATATACAGAAAGTGCCCCTTTTAACAGTTGGAGAGAGAGCAACCAGTATGTAGTGTGCTTCATCAATATCATCTACATGTGTTATCAAGTTACCTTGAGGTTAATATACATTAACTTACCTGGATCATACTTATCATCACAATCAAAAAATCCCCCATGTTTACACTGTGTGTTGTTCCCCCATCTGTCATTGACAACAACTTTATCCTTCACTGGACTGAAAGGATAGAAAATCAAAGATGTTTATTTCAAAAACTAATTTTGCAAATTGATAAGCTTTCAAAGATTCCTTAGTCAAGTCCAAAAAGAAAGAAAGTGTTTTGACAATCATTATATTTACTTCAGACAAGCAAAGCAATTAATCTGGTCATGTAAGGTCTTGCCACAAAACTAGAGTTAGAGGAACCTGCATCTCATAGTGGGTACACCCTTTACGTTATATAAACCATCTACATTCTGTTAACATAACCCTCCTCTGTATATACCTCTCATTATAAAGCCAGGCCAGGAAGTTAGTAGCATTCCAATACTGATCATCAGCCTCCCAATTTCCATCTGACCAAACAATATCTGGCTTGTATCGATTCACTATGTCATGTAATTCTGGCATCACTTTTGACTACAAATAATGTAAAATTATTTCACACAGTATTCATTCTGGTTGCCTTTAGCATCCTCATTCTGCCATTTTAATAAGACAACCTTACTTTTTTGCTTTAAATGAATAATGCATATCTTATTGATTTTACTCAAAAGGGTTATTATTGCATTAAGTATGTTTCACTACATTTTGAATTTACGAGGGGTGATCAAAAAGTTTGTGAACTAATTGAATTACTTCCATAAAAGAAATAAAATTAAGTTTCAGTGTTCATTATTTTTCAAAGCAGTCCTCTTCCATTTTATTGCACATCTGCCACCGTTCTGTCCAAGCACAAATCACATGATACAGACGGTCACGTGACATGCTCCATAGCGTTCTGTTCACTAAAGCTGAAAGATTTTTCCAAGTCCTATATTTCTTACCATGCAATTTATTTTTTATGACAAGAACAGTATATTTGTCATAAATGGCCAAATGTTGGAAATAGGATGGGTGGATAAGGATATCCTTTCCCAGAATGAGATTGTGACCATCACAGCCTGAGTCCTATGTCTTGGGAGTGTCATTTTTCCAATGTTGATAAAGTATGGGAGCCTTCTTTCTATAATATCTGATATGTTTAAAGTCTAAAGTAAACAATATTTTAGGGATTCAATAATCATATTATTGTTAAGATATTCAACTATTTTTCAAACTGTAACTTGGTGATCTTTCATAACAAATTGCTCAACTAAGGACACATCTATTCCCCAGCTTGCTTTCACAGGGCACCAGAACAAACATCATTATTAATCAACTCCCTTCCTTCATTAAAACTATCAATCCAATTAATGATTGAACTTCTGGCAAGTCTTTTGTCTTCCTAAACCATGTACAAATTATTATATGATACTGCAAAGGAATTTCCAAGATTTACAATAAACTTTACAGCCGTTCGATGCTTGAGTACGACTGAGTAAATCATTTTTTGTCACAAGTCACCTACATATTGACGTCATTTTCAGACTGTGACATCACAAACATGGAGAAAAACATTACATAACATCTGCTATTTATACAACATGTTTATGACTATATGTGTGCCAAATTTCATTCTGATCTAAATTGTGGTTTTGTAAATATAGTTTGCGAACTTTTTGATCACCCCTCGTACATGTAGATTTTTTTCTTCTCATTATCTAAATTTATCGGTCATAAACAAGATGTGTTTGTGAAACACTGATGCCCCCGTATGGCAACTTATAGCAAAGGTTAAACTTTCTCAAATGCAAACCAAATATGTTGGTACCCAAAGTAAGGTCTCGTCTCGAGGAATATACCTGTGAAATATGAGAGCCCTAGCAGCAACCATTGAATAGATATGGAAAAGGTTAAAGTCAAGGTCAAAATTAATGGTGCCTAAGGAAAGGCCTTCTCACAAGAAATATACTGGTGAAATATGAAAGCTGAAGCACCAATTGCTCAAAAGTTATGACCTAGCTTTAACTTTTTCAAAAGTAGGTCAAACTCCAAGGTCAAGGTCAAAGGGTCAAAGTTGTTGGTATCCAAAGGAAGGTCTTGTCACAAGGATTACACATGTGAAGTATGAAAGCCTTAGCACCAACGGTTCAAAAGTTATGGCCAAGGTTAAAGTTTTTCAAAAGTAGGTCAAACTCCAAGGTCAAGGTCAAAGGGTCAAAGTTGTTGGTATCCAAAGGAAGGTCTTGTCACAAGGATTACACATGTGAAGTATGAAAGCCTTAGCACCAACGGTTCAATAGTTAAGGCCAAGGTTAAAGTTTTTTCAAAACTAGGTCAAACTCCAAGGTCAAGGGGTCAAAGTTGGTATCCAAAAAAAGGTCTTGTCACAAGGATTACACATGTGAAGTATGAACGCCCTAGCACCAATGGTTCAATAGTTATGGCCAAGGTTAAAGTTTTTTCAAAACTGGGTCAAACTCCAAGGTCAAGGTCAAAAGGTCAAATATGGTGGTACTCAAAGAAAGGTCTTGTCACAAGGAATACACATGTGAAATATGAAAGCCATAGCTTCAACCAATCAAAAGTTATGGGCAATGTTAAAGTTTTTGTAGACAGACAGACAAACAGACAGGTGGACAGACAGACAGACAGACGGACAGGGCAAAAACTATATACCCCCGAATCTTCGATATGAGGGCATAAAAAAACAAAACACTAAATTATCAAATTCATGGTTATGTTCCTCAAAAAAAGTTGAAAAAAAGGAGCCCTGCTGCAAAAAGTACAGCAATAGAGAGTGATCCTTCAGCTCACATATAATATGTAACTACAGAAACCAGTACTTCAAAACTTCCAAATTCAAAATTTCCTGATGATGTTTGAAACATATACCTCAACAAAAGACTGGGTCCTGAAGCCGTTAGCTTTGTCCTTGAGATACAGAGGATGATACCATTCCAGCAGGCAGTAGTACAAACCAAAGTGTATGTCTGTCCTGTTCCTTATTGATCTCTCCAACTCACCTACACACCGGTATAATAAGATATAATTTCAAGACCATAACTGGCAATATTTTTTTGATTTAGGATGAAACAAGTTTTACAAATAATTCAGAGAATATGTTTAAAAATGAGCATTATTTCTTATTTAGTTTTCTAATGGATATGAAAATCTTGCAGTTGACTGTGCCACTTTACTGTACCTCCATTTAATATGGATGGTTGAGAGAGAACCTTGGATCTTGAAGCTGTTTATAAGGGTGCGTCTTTTTACCACAAGGAACCACAAGGTACCACAAGGAACCACAAGGATACCACAAGGAACCACAAGGAACCCCAGGGATACCACAAGGTACCCCAGGGACACCATATACAACCTTAATTATTCTAAATATAGTTTATATGCACTTGTAAACTACAAAAAAAGGTTTTGAAGGGCAAATTAACACTTTAATTGTCCTTAAACAGAGCAGTTATCCAAGATAAAAATTTAAAAGTAGTATACTTAAACAATTAAGCTCAATTATGCATGTATAGTTTTGAGGAACTTTAATAATATTTTATAAGGTGTAAAAAAATAATCCTGTAACTATGAATGGTGTATTTCAATACACAGAACCAATGGAAACTCGCATAAACCCAAAGAATACCCTAGGCTTAAGGTACCACAAGAATACCCAAGGGTACCCTAGGAATATCTCAATGACACCCTATTTAACTTTTAAAAATGTACATGTAAATATGGTTTATATTTGCATTTGTAAATGACATAGTAACTGATTATTGTATTTGTATATAGTGCAATACACAAAACAAAATGATACCCACATAAGAACAAAAGGATAGCCTTCAGTTACCACAAGGACATCCCAGAGTAACCCCAAAAATATCTCAAAATATCCCAAGGACATCCAGTTTGACCTTTATAAATCTAATATAAATATAAATATAAATATAAATGGTTTTAATGCTTTTGTAAATAACTTAGTAACTGTTTATTACATATTTTTATACACAAAAGGATACTAAGAACCCCAATTAAAGAAACTCTAGGTATCCAAATAATACCCTTAAGTATCCCAATAAATTTGATCTATTTCAGTGACATCCAATTCAGCTTTAATAAATGAAAATAAGGTTTTTGTGCATTTCTTAAAATTTTACATTGATCATTATCTGTTTATTGCTTAATTCAATACACAAAATTAGAGGATTCAAAGGACATACCCCAAGCGTACACCAATGACACCTCATTCAAAATTAATAAATGTCATATTTATTTGTAAGTTAGATATTAAGTCTCTCTGAGGTTTATTTGCATTCACTGTGTACAAGTGAAAGATCATACAGTGTATTATGGTCATCTACCCCAAAATTTCAGCCAATCTGATTGATTAGAATTTTTCACTCATGATTTCAGACAAATTGTCATTTTTTCTGTGTTACCTGCTATATTAATGAACAAGTATATAATTTATTATTATTAAATGTTATTATTAAACTGAATAAAGAAAATACAACAGTAAATCGTCGTAAAAGTTTTGCAGTATGATGACTATAACTTACAAAACTTTATGCATAAAAAAAATATAACTCATACATGAAGGGGTCATAAAACCTAAATAAACAAATTTAATACAATAGGATAATTTCTGTCAAAGTACCACTATACACCAGAATATCTGTATTATTGTACCCAGCCCAAGTAGCCTTTCGGTGACTTAACTTGCATGGACGATGCATCTAAGGATGTATACTACCACACTTGCTTCAGATGCTGGATCTGACCTATATTTTTTGGTTGAGAGACCAGAATTTTTTCTTTTTCTTTTTTTTTTTTAGTGCAGGTTTCATTCTAGCTGAAGTAACTGTAAGCCCCCTGTGGTGACCAATCTTGCATGAATGATGCCTCAAGGAATGTACACATGCAGATCTATATGGTTTGGTTGCTGAATCTTAGTACAATTTTCTGTATGATTGAACAGTATGATTTAACAAAAAAAAAAGATGTGGAGCAAGCCCATGCCTATATATTACATGTAGTATGTACCTTTTAAAACATCCTACAGGGGCGCGGATCAAGAAATTTTTCAAAGGGGGGGGGGGGTGAGAGGAAAAAGGATTGTTATAACATACATATACATACAGTTATAGTTTAACAACTTAATAGGATACACGGATGTAGAAGCGTTTTCAAAAGTAAGGGTGAGGGCAGCCAGGGAAAAAATATGGATTTCATGAAAATGTTTGTTAAAAAAAAAAAAATAAATAAAGGAAAAAAAAACTCCGAACCCAAAAATCCTAATTTGTAGGGGGGAGTGGGGGCATTTTCTTTCAACAACCAAATTTATTCATACATTACTATTTCTATCGTAAAAACACAACAAAAAATTGGGTCTCCCCCTCTCCCTCTCTCTCTATCTGTGTCTCTTATTAGCAAATCCAAAAGGGGTGGGGGGTTGCAAATCCCCGTATCCCCCCCCCCCCTTGGATCCGCCACTGCTACACGGACCAAACGTTGAAATCTTGCACTAATTACTACCCCAATATTTATAAAGGTTAGACTTTGTTGTACTTATAAATAACATTTAGTTGACTTGTACATCAAGATGACCTACGTAATATCTTTGATTTAATACTTATGTTTTGATAGTTTCTCAAGTACATGTACATGCCAGTTTTGCTGCATTTGATATTAATATTTAACTTAAAATTTTTAATAAGTTTTGTTTGATTCATTGCATCAATCTTAATACTATAAATATTTTGGCACATAATTACAGGTACATGTACCGGTAATGTTTTAATTCGGATCTTTATAAATTCATTAATACTTTTCAAAAAAATATCAAAATCCATTCTCATGCAAGTTTATTACAATTTACAAATTCAGTACTGATTAATTTTCTCTTATAGGAATAGTAAATAGCTATATGGCTACCCTGGTACTTGTCTCAATCTATGTACTGGTTAGATTAAAAACTTTTTATATACATGTATTAAATTTTTAGGTCACAAAGAAGTGGATCCACATTCACTTTAAATTTTCTTTGCAAAATCACAACCTGGATTTTTAATAAAATTATTTTTTGAAAAAATGCATACAATTTTTGAACTCTGAGAAACACAAAAAGAAATAATTTAGACTGTAACATTATCATTATAAAGTGAGATCTGTTAAGTTCTCCACAAACCATAAAGTTTGGTGTTTCTTTTTAAATGTTTTTAATTAGCTCAAAATGGGTTTTGAATTTATTTGAGGTAATCAATTTCCAGTCAATTGAGTTTAATATTAATATGTGATAACCCTTGGCCAACTTTTTCAAACATGTTTTAATTATGTATTAATTTTACCAATGGCAGGTGCCATTTATGATTTATTGATGCAGGAAAGAATGGGTTATACATATATGATTTTTTTAACATGTTACATTCAAAATTATTGCCCATCTTTAGCAGCATGATCTGTAGAAATGTTGAAAGTACCGGTGTAGTAGAATTTTGGGGAAAAAATGGGTCAGCTTCAGGTATTTTTGTAAAAAAATATTTAATTTATTTAATTAACAGTATCCAGCTAAAAATAGTGACACAGTTTAATGTTTATACTAATGTATGTAAATGGTACAAGAAAAATTATACATGTATAAGTTTATCAATAATCATTACATTATTAAATACCAGGTATATTTTTTCACTAACCATGCAGATTTACTTTTGTTTATATACCTAAGGTATGGTGTAACCAGTCTTGTGTACCTTGTGTATACACAAGTTAATCACTGAAAACTGTTGATTATTCCTATTAATTATCACTGTTGATTTAATACCTGAAATGGTGGATCTATACATGCAAACAAGGCACCATATACACAAGAGTCTCGTTCTCAATATGTCATTGAAATACATGCTTGGTATTTTTCATACTTCTTTATCAGTAAATGGATATTTACTTTTCTATTAACTGAAAAATAAATAATATATTATGTACTATCTTTATAGACATCCATACAATTAAAGTATTAATTTCATAATACATGTTTCAATCTTTATGGAGAAATTTAATAAGTTTGAATTCATTTCCATAACAAAACTCAATGTTTGACATCCTTTTTACATAATTGTTTTTAAATTTGAAATTATTAAGGAATTAACTCTATGAAAACACTGCATGAAGAAAATAATTTTGTTGAGAAAAGTTCTTGTGCTTATATAAATGTAAATTAACAAAAATTATTGTTGTTTACTTCATTATTGGATATGGGTGAATTAAAAAATATTGACTAAAATTTGAAATTTTAGAGAAAATTAAGTTTGTTTTTAAATTAATTAACATATATATATTTTTACAAGATCAGATAATGTATAAATATTCTAGTTATTTTTTTTTTTAAGGGTCAATACGAATACACAAATCCATAGAAAAGTTTCAGAATTTTTATTTACAGAATTTATTAAAAAAATAACAATTTTTATAATTATGAAAATAAAACACGCCTCCACCAAAAATATATTTGACCATGTGCACAGCATAACTTAAACCCATGTGGAACGTTAATTTAAAAAAAAGTGTTACAATTAATTCCCAATAAATTACTTTGAATTAAATTTATATGATCTTCTGATTCCAATCTGCTTTTTAGCTCACCTGAGCCAAAGGCTCAAGTGAGCTTTTCTGATCAAAATTTGTCCGTTGTCTGTCGTCGGCGTCGGCAGCATCGGCGTCGTTGTTGTCGTAAACTTTTCACATTTTCATCTTCTTCTCAAGAACCACTGGGCCAATTTCAACCAAACTTGCCACAAAGTATCCTTGGGTGAAGGGGATTCAGGTTTGTTCAAATGAAGGGCCATGCCCTCTTTCAAGGGGAGATAATAAAGAATTAGTGAAAAATTAATAGCATCTTTTAAAAATCTTCTTGTCAAGAACGACAGAGCCAGGGAAGATGAAACTCATGTGGAAGCATTCTCAGGTAGTGTAGATTCAAGTTTGTTCAAATCATGACCCCCGGGGGTAGGGTGGGGCCACAATGGAGGATCAAAGTTTTACATAGAAATATATAGGAAAAATCTTTCAAAATCTTCTTCTCAAGAACAGCAAAGCCCTAATTGGTCATATTTATATGAACATCCTCAGGTAGTGTAGATTCAAGTTTGTTCAAATCATGACCCCCGGGGGTAGGGCGGGCCACAATGGAGGATCAAAGTTTTACTTAGAAATATATAGGAAAAACCTTTAAAAATCTTCTTCTCAAGAACAGCAAAGCCATGATGAGTCATATTTATATGGAAGCATCCTCAAGTAGTGAAGATTCAAGTTTGTTCAAATCTTGACCCCCGAGGGTAGGGTGGGGCCACAATGGAGGATCAAAGTTTTACATAGGAATATATAGGAAAAATCTTTAAAAAATCTTCTTCTCAAGAACAGCAAAGCCTTGATTGGTCATATTTATATGGAAGCATCCTCAGGTAGTAAAAATTCAAATTTGTTCAAATCATGACCCCTGGGGGTAGGGTGGGGCCACAATGGAGGATAAAAGTTTTACATAGAAATATATAGGAAAAATTTTAAAAAATCTTCTCAAGAACAGCAAAGCCCTGATTGATCATATTTATGTGGAAGTATCCTCAGGTAGTGTAAATTCAAGATTGTTCAAATCATGACCCCCTGGGGTAGGGTGGGGCCACAATGGAGGATCAAAGTCTTAAATAGAAATATATAGGAAAATATCTTCTGATGAAGAACTGCAAAGCCATGATTAGTCATTTTGATATGGAAGCATCCTCAGATAGTGTAGATTCAAGTCTGTTAAAATGATGACCCCCGGGGACAGGGATGGGCCACAATGGGGGGTCGAAAATTTTACATAGGAACATATAGGAAAATATCCTCTTCTCAAGAACTGAAAATCATGTTTAGTCATTTAGATATGGAAGCATCCTCAGATAGTGTAAATTCAAATTCGTTCAAATGATGACCACTGGGGTAGGGTGGGGCCACAATGGAGGATCAAAGTCTTAAATAGAAATATATAGGAAAATATCTTCTGATGAAGAACTGCAAAGCCATGATTAGTCATTTTGATATGGAAGCATCCTCAGGTAGTGTAGATTCAAGTTTGTTAAAATGATGACCCCCGGGGACAGGGATGGGCCACAATGGGGGGTCGAAAATTTTACATAGGAACATATAGGAAAATATCCTCTTCTCAAGAACTGAAAATCATGTTTAGTCATTTTGATATGGAAGCATCCTCAGATAGTGTAAATTCAAATTCGTTCAAATGATGACCCCTGGGGTAGGGTGGGGCCCAATGGGGGATCGAAAGTTTTACATAAGAACATGCAGAAAAAATATTTCTTCTCAAGAACAGAAAAGCTATGTTCAGTCATATTGATATGGAAGCATCCTCAGGTAGTGTAGATTCAAGTTTGTTCAAATATTGACCTCTGGGATAAGGAGGAGCCACAATGGGGGATCTAATTTTTTCAAAATTTACTCAAGTACAACAAAGCCATTTGTTATATTGACATGGAAGCATCATCATGTATCCCCCCCCCCCCCCCGGTAACCTTTTCAATACTGAACTGATTTGTGCTTTTGCCTAGCCAATGTGCTCAGGTGAGCGATGTGGCCCATGGGCCTCTTTTTTCATAAAGTTATTCAATTAAATTTGAAAATGTATTAAATTTTCAAATACAGAAAAAAATATATACCTACCTACCTACCCAACTTGAGATTTTAGGGTCAGGTGAGGGGAAACAGAAATATCTTTAATATTAATGGCCTAATTTTTTTTTTTAAATACAAGATTTTGAAGGGATCCTCTTTAACCTTATTTTGTTGCACTCTTGACTTCTGATGTTTATTAAAAAAACATCATCTTAAATTCATAATGCAATCATTTTAAATTTTGTTAAGCAGTTCATTATTTGAAAATTGGAAAACATTTTATTTTTTAAATACCCAGGGGCAAAGATGGTTTTGAAAGAAATAATTTTGAAAAAGGCATTGTTGCTCAACACAACTATAAGCATTTTATTTTGCTTCATACCCAGGAGCAGAGAGATTTTCAAAGATTTTAATAAATGCTTAATAATATGTATCACATACCAATAGATCCACAACCTAACACCAGAACCCCTAGCTGACCCAGGGGCCACCACACCATGCATTTAATATGTTTGCTGAATTAAATATCTTAGAGTAGAGAATAATGCTTTTCATCATATTTACCCTAAAACTCTGACCCTTGGGCCATGAATATCACAAATGATAGAGGGCTCAATGCCTATTACAATCATGTCAACAGTTTGATTTCCAGGAGTCCCACCCCTCAAGCCCAGAAAGGGGGAAGGGTTAGGCCCCATGAAATTCAAAATTCATGTTTCCCTTTAACCATAGATGCTATATGCCAAAATTGGTTAAAATTGGATCAGCAGTTCAAGCAAAAGTCGAACAGTTTTTCGGACCCTCTCGTCTGCACCTTTAGTAAATGCTCCAAACTCCTAACATATAACCGGATTTGAATAAATTGAATCTACACTCCCTGAGGATGCTTCCATATAAATATGACCAATCATAGCTTTGCTGTTCTTGAGAAGAAGATTTTTAAAGATTTTCCCTATAAATTCCTATGTAAGACTTTTATCGTCTATTATTGTGATTCAGTCCTACCCCTCAGGGGTCATATATGATTTGATCAAATTTGAATCTACACAACCTGAGGATACTTCCATTTAAATATGACCAATCATTCCTATGTAGAATTTTGATTGTCCATTGTGGTCCTGCCCTACCCCGGATATCTTGATTTGAAAAAAAACTTGAATCTATTCTACCTGAGGATATTTTCATATTTTAGTTTCATTTTTTGCTGACCCAGTTTTGGTTCATGAGAAGATTTTTAAGAGATGCCATTAATTTTTCACTAATTTTTAAATTATCTCCCCTTGGAAGAGGGCGTGGTACTTCATTTGAACAAATTTGAATCCCTTTCACCCAAGAATACCTTGTGGTAAGTTTGGTTGAAATTGGCCCAGTTGTTTTTGAGAAGAAATCAGAAGTGTGAAAAGTTTACAGATATATGGACAGCTGGATGGACAGGTGCACGCTGGACAATATGTGATCAGAAAAGCTCACTTGAGCCTTTGGCTCAGGTGAGCTAATAAACAGTTAATTAGCAAATGCATTTAAACTATGATTAGATTTTTTAAAAGTTTAATTAAGTGTCATTAAAGTGTCATTTTGATATTCTGTACGTACATTGGTCTATCCTAGTGGTACAGGGGACATGACATTAGGGTTCTTATTGGGTATTGACTGATGGTTTGTGTATTGAAATGAACAATAAACCATTAACTTTTTATACATCATAAAAATACAATCTCTCCCTCTGAACTATGCATGCATAATTTAGCTGAAATTAGTGAATTTAATTTAGATATTACCTTCAGTTGGTTTAATAGCGCCATACTGAACTTATTTAAGACAATTAAAGTGTTAATTTGCCCTTCAAAATTTTTTTTTTGTAGTTTACAAGTGCATATAAACCATATTTAGAATAATTAAGGTTGTATATGGTGTCCCTGGGGTACCTTGTGGTATCCCTGAGGTTCCTTGTGATTCCTTGTGGTATCCTTGTGGTTCCTTGTGGTAAAAAGACGTACCCTGTTTATAACAGGTCCAGGAAAATCACTATATTTAGCTATATAGCTTAAATTACCTATATAGCTTTATTTACCTATATAATATAGCTTTATTTAGCTATTTTAGAATAAGTTTCTGTTTTGTGAAAAGCAAACAAAAAGTCGAATGGAAAATATGGCTGATATTTTTTTAAAAAGGTTTGATAAAAACAACCTAGGGCATAGATAGTAAAAACATTGCCTCTTTTAAACACTTTTTAACCAAAAAATGCATCTCTATTGTTTGGATAGCTGTCCATTACTGGAAGTGCGATGAGGCATGACTAAGTGTGATTGCCTTGCATTGTGCTGAATTATTACCAATCAATTATTTTGTTGACCAAAACTGCTTTTCTTTGTTAAAGTAGCTGCTTATTCACAGATTAACTGTTATACATAGCCCCAAAACTTTTAGATCTTTGATTGCAACTGCACAAAAGGAGAAACATTTTTAAAAGTGGGTTTTTGGTGAATTATTTTTAGCCCATTTCAAAGTTGAAAACTAACACTGCCTCATTATGCGACTTTTTGTCTGCTTTTCATAAAACAGAAATTTACTCTGAAATAGCTAAATAAAGCTATATTATATGGGTAAATAAAGCTATATAGGTAGATCTAGCTATATAGCTAAATATAGTGATTTTCCTAGACCTGTATAACTGCAAGGTATAAATGTCATTACCTACGAGATCCCTGTTTGGCCCAACATCCATAGAATTCCAATTAAATGCTTGCTTTGATGGCCAGTTGCAGAAGCCCTCAGGTTGTTTTGTTATCAGTACAACATATCTGCCAAAATAGATTTCTTTTTATAAATGGCATTGAAAAATTCATTAGAGGTGTTAATGCCTATTTTTTTTTTTTTACGTTTTATAACATAGACAATTTTATATCTATGAAAAAAAGAAAGAAAAAAAAACTTGGTTACTTACTTGGCCCCAGAAGCTTTAAATATATCAGCCCACTGATCAGGATTGTAAAATTCAGCAGTAAACATTGGAGCAAAATCTGCATACGTAAAATCTGGTGGATAAAATTTATTCATAAAATCGACAACTTCTGGTATCTTCTCCGTTTTCCATGCATACCAGAACCATTCTGTATAGATGCTAGGGACTGAATACACGCCCCAGGTTATTAAAAGGCCGATTTTAGAATCATCAAACCACGGTGGAAGAGGTCTCGATTCCAGGGACTCCCAGTTAGGCTTATATTTTTGTCCAACAACTACAGACAAGCAGATCAATATAAAAAACAATCGATTCATTGTTGTGAACATCCGAATCCCGAGAATCAAACTCGGCTCCTGCTTCCTTACAGCTACAGGTCCCGTGATGTTTATGTAAATTTGAAAGTTAAAAATGAAAGTAAGAATCCACTTAGTGTTTAGATAATTCAATCTTAGTCCATTCGCGCAATGTCCTTATTCAGAAAACAAAGCTTTTCAAGAATACTAAGTAAAATTGATTTCAATATTCATATTATGTGTACCCTTAGAATAACTTTATAATTAATTTAACCTTTCATCTGACTTATCAATTAATTGACAAGTTTATATATTGCTATTCAATTCTGCAATAAATCCCATTCTCCTTAAATTACTCTCCACCTTATCATTCTAATAGTAATAGGGCAACTATGAAAACTGGGCAACTGTGACTTCACACAAATCAATGACAAGTAAACAGTTTCCAAACTTTTAATTTATTTCTATGAAAGAATATAAAAAATTGTATAGTCATAGAGAAAAGATCATCATAAAATCCCTGAGACTTCTGATTGTTTTAATGCCATCAAATTGTCTCCTACAAAAGCACTTAAATGAGGATGAATTTGTTATTACGAGAGGTTTTAACCCCAGTAATGTTTATACCTGAAGAAAATGTCAGAATTGCCACAGAATATCAATTTTATGAGGGAGTTCCAGTAATCAATGTGGACTACTGGTACATCAAAATTTAAGCCATTTTTAGTTTCCATTCTTCACCTCCTCCCCTCCCCCAAAATTAAAAATTAAAATTTAATCTTTCTTCATGAAAATTCAATGTTTGATAACCTCAACATCAATCAAAGTATACGGCACTGAATAAAATTGATAATGTAACCTATATACCTTATACAGGATTATTTTCGCCCCGTATTATTTTCGCCCTTCTACACTTTACACTTTCACAATTTTGCCCAATTTTAAATTCGTCCAGTCACAGTTCTGTATAAGAAATTTTACTGTGTTCTTCGAATTTGCCCCATTTTCAATTCGCCCACCTGTGAGTAGGGCGAAAGAGTCGAAAATAAAAAGGGGGCAAAAATTTCCCTGTATACAGTAACCCCTCCAAAACTTTTTTCATAGGTTGTAAAAATTATTATACTATTAATGTTAATATACAGTGTATTACCTTAATTAAACCTATTTAATACTACAATTATTCTTTGGGTTTCTTTCCGAACAATTTAAACTTAAACGCAGTTTAATTATTCCTATTTAAAACAAAATACATAAAACAAATACAAGTCATGTTCTGCTGCCTGACATAAAAAACTGTAAACTTATAACGATTAATTAGAGGATCTCCTATCTTTGTTATTGCTACCACAAAGTAGATCTACGTCTTTTGATGATCCTTTGTTCTGGTTGGAGGATATGTGAGTCCGGACTTCTTTTTCTTGATTTCAATGTCATTTCATCAGCTGAGGAAGTTTTAAAATTAAATGTTATATCTGCATCCACTTTCTTGGATAAGTTTTTTTGTAAAGGACTTCTGCCTGTGGAGCACTTGGATTCAACACTTGAGTTTGAGTTTTCCAAAGGAGATAAATCTTCAAGAACATTTTTGGTGTAAACAAGAATGTACCCCTGGCTCAATAATACTTCCTCTTTGGAACATATTTTTACTCTTGAATCATTGCAATTGATCCATGAATCTGTAAGAGAAATACAATACATTTTTATGTTTACAGAGATTAAAGATGTTTTCAAATAAATGTTGTCCGATCCTGAAAATGCTTTGCCGAGTATATGTACTACATGAACAAAACCTATCAAAGATATAACATCAGTGACTGAAAATAAATATAACGGCATAAAAGTGTGTCAAAAGACAATTTTTTTTTTTTTCAAAAATATTTACCCGAATTCCTAAAATTTACTAGCTTCATGAACCAGTTTTAGGAAATATTTTTCAGAGCATAAACCTGAATTCCTGAAAACTTACTAGCTTCTGCATTCCAGCAGCAGGCCGTGTAGTGACCACTCCCAAAGCCTCTGCCATGGTGAATGATGACCCCCAACAGATTATATGTATAGCTCTGCCCCTTCTCCATATCTGACTTATCACAGAAAGGTTCAACATCTAGGACATCATCAAAAGCTACCTGAGTGGAGATTTTCTCCCTGTGGTTCCTGCCTGACCACCTGTAAATAAAACAGATAAGTGAAAGTAGTGCCAAGTCTTTGACTGATTTTCAACCTTACCCAAAAATTTACATCGCAAAGAAAAAAAATATCACTTCAATGAATCTTCTGCACATATTATTTCAGCACAAATTTATATCTACATGAAACAGTCAAATTTGGGTTGCCCATGAACATTGACCCTACAAATTAAAATGATTCCATAGTATTTGTCTTAAAATAAAGTTGAAACTTGCACTGGGGAAGCTTAATAAATTATGCTTCACTTCTGTAAATAATTAATTTAAAAACCAACCCTATGTAATTTCTACAAACTAACCTGTTTCTGTGCAGTGTTTACAGACCTTTTTTCTTTTCAATATCTATCACTCCAACCTTTTTAAGATACACTATCTACTAACCTGAATCTTTTGAGGTGCAGTCTTAGCACATTTGGGAGTTTTTTCAGCAGCAGTCTTTTCTGTGCCTCAGTGTAGATAGATTTTGAAGTCCTCTTTTTCCTTCGAGCTTAAAATATTCAATACATGGTACATGAAAAATACTTATGGTGGCAATGGCCACTGAATTTTCTCCATCTTTACAATCCCTTTTTTATGCCCCCATATTCGAAGATTCAGGGGCATATAGTTTTTGCCCTGTCCGTCCGTCTGTCTGTCTGTCTGTCTGTTTGTCCACAAAAACTTTAACCTTGCCCATAACTTTTGATTGGTTGGAGCTATGACTTTCATATTTCACATGTGTATTCCTTGTGACAAGACCTTTCTTTGGGTACCATAAAATTTGACCATTTGACCTTGACCTTGGAGTTTGACCCACTTTTGCTAAATTTTTTCTGACTTTAACCTTGGCCATAACTTTTGAATAGTTTGTGCTAGGGCTTTCAAACTTCACATGTGTGTACCTTGTGACAAGACCTTCCTTTCGATACCAACAACTTTGACCCTTTGACCTTGACTTTTGACCTACTTTTGCAAAACTTTAACCATGGCCATAACTTCTGAACGGTAAGTGCTAGGGCTTTCATACTTCAAATATATGTAACCCTTGTGACAAGACCTTACTTTGGATACCAACAACTTTGACCCTTTGACCTTGGAATTTGACCTACTTTTGAAAGACTTTAACCTTGGCCATTACTTTTGAACAGTTGATGCTAGGGCTTTCATATTTCACGTGTATTTCTTGTGAGAAGGCCTTTCCTTGGGCACCATTAATTTTGACCATTTGAACTTGACCTTGATGTTTGACTCAGTTTTGAAAAACTTTAACCTTTTCCATATCTATTTAATGGTTGCTGCTAGGGTTTTCTTATTTCACAGTTATATTCCTCGAAACAAGACCTTACTTTGGGTACCAACATATTTGATTTGCATTTGAGAAAGTTTAACCTTTGTTATAAGTTGCCATACAGGGGCATCAGTCTTTCACAAACACATCTTGTTTTTTTTATAATTTTTGATAAAAATTCTGTAGACTTCTAAAAGCCCAAGTTTTATTTTTTGCTTTAATATGGGAAACTACATTTACAAGAATTACACTTACTGTTACAATTTTCACACTGGTAAATCCTCCCCTCTAAAGTTTCTTCTTCAGTAAATTTGTATAACATTTCTAGAAAATAAAGGTTCTTGCCCTTTAGTGACTTATACATATCCACCAATGGGCACATCAAAAGAACTTTTCAAAACCCAACTACATGTACATGTAACTTTGAAGGTTTTTATACTATCAATTTCTGTCACAGATTGACAAATGGCAAGACATTGTGAATTCTGTTTTCGCTAGTTGTTTTTACTGAAAGGGGGGTAAGAAGCTTTTTACAATATGATGAACAATTTACTTTAGTTTCAAGTAATAGTATTAAATTTGATTTTATTTGTCTCCTGGAATGTTATGAAATCATTTTATTGGTACTTTTAATATGTGTATACATATACCTGTAATGTGACAGATGTCCTGAGCTATGCTTGCATTGAGAGATGTAAACTGGTATCTTTCTGGGAATTCCAAAGAGAGATCCATAAATGGCTCCTTTGTTTCCGAAATATTTCCACAAACAAGGCACTTCACCTGTTACATATATTTCAACACTTTGACATTAGTAGAATTCAATGCTCATTCAACCAAATCTGGACCATAATGTTTAACAAACTGCATTTAAATATATATAAATTCATTAAAAGTACATACCTGGCTGACCAGTTCACCTTGAAAAATATCTGATATAATGTCAAACAGGTCAAGGTCACACAGCTCATTCTGAGCTTTATCCAACAATTCACTGAAACATGAATGATAAAATTGAATATGTGCAGTAAAAATGCTTCCAAAGAATAAAAGGGAACATGACATAATTTTTTGTTGTTGTCTGTAAACATGTATACTGACTTTAGCATTATGAAATTAGGTTTTCGCACTGAATATGTTAGGCATTCAAGCATCATTGCAGTAGTAAGACACCGCTGAAATAATGACCTATAAACATTGGCTGAAGCCACTCTCTGAGTGGTGTCCACAATTAAAGAGATAGAAATTCATAGAAATCATAAAGAGTTCAGCATAGACAAAAGCTTTCCTGCATTTGCAGTATAGAACATGCATAATGTGTGAGATATCAAGCCACTTTATGTTGCTAAACTTGCAATTGACAAAAATAAATAGAAACTTTCTGTACCAGAGGAATTCTTGAGCATCATGCTGGGCATGGCCTTTAAACATGGGGATCCTTTTCCACACGGCCTGGAGGAAGCCATGGGGACTGACCTGTGCCCAATTCCCAGACCATAACACTCGGAAAAGACCATTCAGCTCTTGACAAAGTGATCTGTATAAAAATAAATTTATACGAAAATGACTTCAACCTTGCCACTAGTTTTTGTGTCTATTTGTGGAAATAGAACAGACACAAAGAGCAGTGGCTTACGATGATACAACCTTGATATTTTGGAACTTAAAATCATGGGCTTTTAAAAAGTGTGGAAAATTCTCCCATGAATGTACATGTAGCTCTATGAGATACAAGTGTAGTTTAAATTTATTCATAAATTACAGCACTATAAGGTTATACAAAAAATGTATCGGTTACCATCTTATAGAGAAATTAAACCACACTTTATTATCATTAATATACTAACAAAATCATAAGATTACATGTTACTGGATGGCACTTTTTTCTCTACAGATAACAATAGTTTCCCCTTAATAGGCGTGGTCAGTTGTGACCCTCCATTTAAACCTCCTGGTCTCTCTTTGGTAGGGGTCCCTGGATTTCTTTCTGGTGTCATCAAATGCTAAAAAAAGAAATAAAATAAAATGCATATAAATAATAAAACCTGTTTTGTATGACAAACTATCAAATGACTTTGATGTATTGAACTTGTCTCAGCCTTTGATGGTTGAAGATGTATTTCAGCTTGATGTCAAAGGATATTCTACAGAAAATGATGGATTTCATAATGCCACCACCCCCCCCCCCCAAAAAAAAATCAATTTTCAGATCTAACTTTAATGTATGAAACAATTCATTATCCATAAACACATATTTTGAATTCAAATAAAAATACAAAATGATACATGCATATCCACTTAGGTTTACATGTACATGCATTACCTCAAAGCATTCTATAGTGGTTTGTCGACTAAACAGTCTCTTTGCTGGCTTGGAATAGAAATTCTTTGGGGCTCTTGGAGATAGGGTCACCGGAGTTAAAGACTTCCTCCCAACTAAAGAGTGGGGACTGCTCTCAGGGGAGGTAACTCTACTGGGACTAGGCTGGATCTGATGTCGGAAAAAGTCTCGAAATTCCTCTAAGTGGCTGAGAAGAGACAAACTCAATTCATTGTCAATCAAAGACATATACTAATATACTATTTTAAGTAGGCAAGTAATTTACAAAGCTTTACAAAAAGCATTATAAAGTCTTCATAAAACATAAACAAGGATTTTCACTCACATACAATGTAAGTACAGGCTTACCTTAACACCTGAAGTACAGAGTTCATGTAACAGGTGTTGCCAAGATTACGTAAACCAGTCATTCCTGGAATTATGGTTCTCCTTTTAATAACGGGGCTCCATTCCACGGACGACTTTATTTTCCTCTTTTCTGGTGTTCGCTGTATCTGATATAGATCATATTTCATCATTAAAAATAAGAATACTTGAAAATGTTTTGCAAAATTTGGAATCTAACATAGCAGCATGATAAAATATTTTTTGTATTTTCTTTGAGGTTCAGAAATGATACACATTACTTTCACATATACCTTTTCAAAATTGCTCAATTATTTTGCTATCTATGAAATCTCTATTCATAAATAACAATTTTTTGACTTTATTGAGAAAACTAATGCCTGTCAAATATTTACAAGGTTCTAAACCATGGGTTTTACCTCAATGTATTTCCCTTGTGTGTACAATTTCCATGCTATAAATGTCTTCCTCAGTAACACCTGTCTGTGAAAAAAAATATAAATCAGACTTCTGTGGGTTACTGAAAGATTAAACTTTCAAATAAACTGTGTCTCAGATAAAAAATTTCATCGTATAAAAGTTAAATGCTCAGTGTGAGTTTATGACATCTTAAATATACACGGCTGAACATCAGTATCTGGAAAATTTAAATTTGAATGCTGTATACAGGGTTATTTTCAACCCGTATTATTTTCACCCTTTCAGACTTGCAAACTATTTTGCCCCATTTTAAATTTGCCCTGAAAGAGTTTTATAAAAGGGTTAATGCTGTATTCTTGAATTTGCCCCTGCAGTCTAAAATCCCCCACATGTGATGAGGGCAAAAGAGGAGAGAATAAAACAGAGGCAATATTTCCTTGTATGCAGTACCATATGTCAGAGTGAGTTGAATTTCCAAACCATTTTTCAATTTATTTTTCTCAGTCCCACTGAGTTCAAGACAGAAAGGTCTGACTGTATGATATACATGTACATATTATTCCTTTGGAAACATAAAAATTCGGAAATGTTCCTTTCTTTATATCATCACATTAAAAATTAAACTAACTCGAAACTAATTCTGAACATCTTGGCTATATGTCAACATGGTCAATCATTAAGACTATTCTCACTTTCTATGAAAATCTGCTGTAACTATCTTGTCATCTTCATCTGTTCTGGAGCTGCAAAAGAAAAATAAATGTTTACGTCAACCCAACATTAATGCCAACATTCATTAAAAAAATACTTGCAGATAATAATGTAAATAAAAATACTTGTAATCCTTTTACAAAATAGTATTAGAATCCCTGATAAGTACAATAATTGGTAAAAAAAAAATTGTCAGCACAATATGCATGAAATATCTACACTAGTATCTGATTATATATTGCCCATACAATACAATACCATTCTTCAAAATAAAAAAAAATACACAACAAGATGTGTTTATGAAATACTATGCCCCCGATGGTAACACAATTCTAAAGTGGGACGTAGACTACAGTGCAATACTTATGGCCATAATGTTAAAGTTTTTCAAATGTAGGTCAAAGGTCACACTTGAGGTCACATTATCAAAAATTTCTGTACCAAAGGAAAGGTCTTGTCATAATGAACACTCATGTCAAATATTAAAGCCTTACCCTTGACAGCACAGTAGTTATGGGCTAGGTTAAAGTTTACAACAGACAGACAATCAGACAGACAGGACAAAAACAATATACCCCAGGGATCTTTCGATCCAGGGGCATAAAAAGAGAAAAGTCCTAAAGATATTAAAGTATGTGCAAATAGTAGCCCTAATACTTGCACAATTGTTACTGTAATTTAAATTTAATACACATGGTCTCTCTTGACCCATTCATAGGTTGTAGGTTAGAATCAGTTTCATCAGAGAAATTTGGCAGTAAACAGAACATTGCTATAGTCTGTTTAAATATCATATGGAACAACTACTACAACGTTTTAAGTAAGCATTATAATTTGCAAGAACACCCAAAAATGAAATGTTCCCAACATTCACAGAAGCTGTGCCTAATTTAATCATACAATTAAACATACATCATAGTATAATCTAACACATCATTAACATTCAGGAGGATTTAAAAAAACTCACGGTGAGACGACAGCAGTGTGGGAGTAAGATCTGAGTAACCTCCTCCCCCGCGACTCCACATCTGTAAAGGTCTGGGTGGCTATAGCACTTAGGGCATTCCTCAGAATCTTCAGATCCCCCGACACATTATCATTCAGGACATAGTCATCACATTGGTAGCTGTTACCATGGTTACAAAAAATAATTGTGTCTTACTAAAGGTCTCATACATTTTTTAAAACATGCATTTAGGTAAAATTAACAGGTGATTTTCCAAATGGTATAATAATTAGCAATTTTCATTAAGCCAAAATATGTATGTCTTTCACTAAAACAAATCACTTTATTTTAAATTTTATTCTATGTTTATTTCTTCACAAAAATCTTTTAATTATACTTACCAATATACATATTTCTCATTGACCTCCAGACATAGTGGATGCTTGCATAGAAAAAAAGATGCACAAAATAAATGCTCTACAAACAATTAACAAGACATGTGATGCTTTTATCAAGCTTCATAAAAACTTGTGCAAAACAAAAGAAATCGCTGAATTTTATATTCACAGATAATATGCTGCTGTTCAAATCTTTCATTACCTGAGTTTCTTTAAAGTGTTTAAGAGCATGTTCCTCATTGAATCTTCCACATGCTACACTAGGACAACTAAGGCATGCCTACAATGTTTTCAAAATTCAAATAAATTGAAAAATATGATTTTAACACAAAATAATATTGATTACTTTTGCAGTTATCACAAAATTATGGAATACTGAATGGCTATATTTCCACAAAATAAAACTGCAAAATACTCTGATTACCTCTCTTTGGCAAGTTGATTGAATGGATCGAAGAACATAATTTATAAACAAAAACGTAATATATTAGTGAAACTCAAAATTCCTAGGAAAGAGAACTTAATATAGTTTACAATTACCAGTAATTGAACTTTATACTCATCCTTGACATAACATAAAACTTTGATCAAATATAAAGTTTAATTTTTTTTCATATCTCTCATACTACAAAAAATTACAGTCTATATTAAAATTATAGAAACTGCAAACCAAAAATACTTTTATTCTTTTTACATAAAAAAATACGGTGTTATTGAATTAGCAGAAAATTTCAAATATGATATGTAATATTGCAGTATTTCACATAAACATAAGAAAATCTTAAAAATATGTATTGAAGACATTTTTACAGTTATATTCAATCAATATATACACCTACTAACATCAAGAAGATATATATTTACATGTAATATGAAATTTACGTGGAAATAAATTATTGAGCTGTAGTATCAATACACCGTAAGTTCTGCAAATGTAGCACTAATATGTGCTAAGACTGCTAACAAATATCTCAGTTGTAGCAGACTAGGCAAAAATTCAAATTAGCACATCTAGGTTTAAGTTCTTTAAAAACTTAGCCATCTGGGTCATGGAATTGTTAACCTGCCTGTCAGATTGCCATACAGAAATGACAGTGTATGAGCTGTACGGTAGACAGACATCTCGGCCCAATGACACCTCGGCCCGTCACGCTTGACATCTCGGCCCTGACAGGTCGGCCCAAGATTGTTGACACGTCGGCCCATATAAAAGACACCTCGGCCCAAACAAAATTTTACGATGGAAAAAATTAACAGATTAACCCAGCGCTTGAATTGATATTATCAGTAGCCTGGGGAAAAAATTGGACTCAAACTAGTTATAAGCGACAATAATAAATTTACGAAGGAAAATGTTTTTCTTAAGAAATAAACGAGAAAATATTCCATGGATCCAAATTTAGTTTAATTAATGTCTCCCAATTAAGACTGCTCGTAATCGCACTTGACCCTCCAAAGGATGCGCCGCGGTATTTTGTTTGTTTATCAATTAGCACTCTAATTAATAGCACTGTCTTCTCATTCCTTAAATTAATATCGTCCATGTGCTCGTGGAAGACCTTTTTAAAAAAATCTTGATAGTTTATTCATGTACTTTTTTCAATCAATATTTTAATTTAAGTCCCAAAATTGGAAATATATATATTTCATAGTAAAATTTTGCTTGGGCCGAGGTGTCTTGTGTATGGGCCGACCTGTCTTAAATCTTGGGCCGACCCGTCTGAGCCGAGATGTCATTGGGCCGAAATGTCAATGGGCCGAGGTGTCGTTGGGCCGAGGTGTCGTTCATTCAGCTGTACACATACCCAGACACTCTCTGTAGTTCCACAGGCATAACACATCCACTTTTGGGGATTTAGTATTGAATGGCTCCATTTCTTAATGGCTGATAGATGCTTACAATTGTCCATTTATAACTGAAAGCTAGAAAGAAATTCTAATAATTACCAATAAATATCATATCGGCCCAAGGATAGCTTAAAAATTACAGGTTTGTTGGAAAGAGATTTTGTGGGCTAATATCCTTTTATGAAAAATATAGTTTATAAATCTAAATTCTTCAAAGTGTAATTTCTTGAGTTAAATGGAGAACATTGAACTCCCAGAAAATAAAAATAATTAAACTTAATATAATTTTACCATATTACATTCTGGAATCAGTTTAAAGTTTCAAATTGCATGGAGCAAAAGTGAAACACTGGCTGGAAAATTTGAACATAAAGACTCAAAAGTCTCTTTTAACATTATAACAGCATGTAATTTAATTCTTCTAATGAAATTACATGAAAATTAATTCAAAAATCATAATGTTATTAAGTACTCAGTGCTTTAGTGTGAAAAGCGTAATGACGTGCTGGCTATGTCACAGGTACTTGAGTCTTGGTTTATAAATATGTATACCTATTGATATGTAAAAAGAGTACTCTTTAGGTATATGTACATGTACCAGTATGTGGTACATATTTATAGACCAAGACCCAAGTAACCTGTGATTTATGTCTCTGATCTGATGTTTTTATAACAGTTTTAAGTTATATTGATTAAAATTTTCTTCTCAGACTTAACTATCTATATTTCAGTAGCCGCTTTCCGTCATTTCACTAAGCAATTATTTATTATAACACATATGACAATTCTTATAAAGTTCCAACCCCAATGTTCTTTCTATTAAAAATTTTGTTGGCAATGGCAGCGCTGGTTGCTCTTTTACGATAGAAATAGATATACATTATACCCTGCTGTTAATATTAAGTCATCAATATATTTTTGTACGCATTTTAACATTAGATGCATGCAAAATCTACCATTTATGCATTATCTGAGGGTGAACTCTACTGCAGACCAGCAGATCCATTCGGTGATCAAATTAATATTATTGAAACCGGAAGTCGAAAGAATATGTAATAAAAAGAAAAAAATGCAACCGGATATTATTGGATTATAAGTTTAACGAAAAAGAATTAAACGATAATAATGTTATCATGAACGTATAAGAAAAATTCTTCCGGTTTTATAGATTTTTTTTTTCAATGTAATCCTAAAAGCTATAAGCAGAACGGAATAGAAAGTTCAGGGCCGTCATCAGGTTTTTGGAAAGAAGGATGCAGAGTAGTTTTTGGGTGGGATTAAAATATATTATACTCAAGGCTCCCTCTCCTAAGCCCGATCATTCTTATAAAGGGGTTTCATTCGATGAGTTTTGTGCAATTTGGAAGTCGTTTTATCCCCCCAAAATAAGCAAAAAAAAAAAAAAAAAAAAAAAAAAAAAAAAAAAAAAAAAAAAAATTGAACAGATGAATAATGAATTTATTTTGTTTTGAAAACAATTAATATTTTTAATTCTTTTCGTAAGATTATAAGTGACAATGCTCCAAAAGCACCTTCCTATTTTTTATTTGGTAAATGCACTACAAACATAATCCATACTAAATTAAGGCACAACTGTGTATTGAACCAAGATTTATACAAACGTAATATTATTGACAATCCTTATTGTTCTTGTGGTAAACAAGAAGATGCCTATCATTTTTTCTTTGTTTGTAAAAAATATCTTAATGCTCGAAATAATCTTTTTGACCTTCTTTTTCGACTTGATTTAGATATCATAGATGTACACCTGACTCTGGGGCAACGAAAACCTTTCATTAGAGTTAAACATTGGCATTTTTGCCGCTGTTCACAGATTCATAAATGAATCTTGTAGGTTTAGCTAGATATACTATATTTGCATTTATTTGTATATGTTTTTATTATTATTTTGCATGACAATTATTATGTGTTTTATTAAGGAGAAGAACTCGTAAGTTGTTAGAACTTGTTTCTTATCTTTTTGCTTGTCAATAAAATATGTTCAAAACAATATTTTTGAGATTTACTAAAAGAAATTGTGCGAACGCACAAAATGAATCCATTTTTCTTACGTCTTTGAAGACAATATTGAAACTAGTTTTATTTCAACATTCAAATATGCAATAAACGCGTTAATTTATTTATGCTGTTTGAACATATTTTCAACACTATTTCATCATAATTGGCAAAACATAGGCCCACTGAGTACAGTTTTGGAAGATATGGAGAAAATGTTCACTGCATGTATGTATCTTTCCCCCTTTTTAAAACTGTTCAATAATTGATATAAATTCAGAACTGCGTTCACAGGCAAAAGTTTGTTTCTGTAATAATTTTTTTTAACCCAGTATAATTAATCGACTAAGCCAAAATCTGTTTGTTTGTTTGTTTTTGTTTTTTCTTGTTGTTGTTTTTTTTGAGGGGGGGGGGGATTTAATTATTTCATTCTTTTTTTCTTGACTGAAGAATTCAGTTATGTATATGTAAATATTTGTAATTTCATTATTGTTACAGAAACAAGTTCTTGTAACTGCGTTGTGCAAAAGAACTATCGACAATGCCATTTTTTGTATGTGTTTGGACAATTTATTTCATTCTTTTTTCTTAACTGAAGAATTAGTTATGTATATGTAAATATTTGTAATTTCATAAAATAATTAAGGTGGCCTGGTTTTAAAAATGTACATGCAAAGTTTTTCGACATTGTAGTTATTATGCATGTTTAAAATATTTTGTAAAACGTTAACAGGTCTCAGTTCTATATTACGGGGAGGAGGGGCAGGTTTGGTCGACCTGGTCGATCTCCACCTTTTTTTTTCAAAGACGACTGAGATTTTCTCTGTTAATTTTGTGCGGAGATTTTCATTCAAAGTCCGCTCACACTTTTTTTTCTCTAGTACGATCGAGCCCTCTAACATTACCTAAAAATTACCAGAAAGCCCGAACCCCCCCCCCCCCCTTCTCCGATTAAAAATTTTGCGTTTTGCATAAATTTCACTTGTATCAATTGTATTAGTTTTCTTTTTTAATTTGCATGACATATTGTAATATATAATCATAGGTTTACCTTTGAAAGGAATTTGTTGAATTTTTTCAAGGGAAAATATCAAATATGTCTTATACTAAAAAAGTTGAGCTCTGCTTTAATAGCCAATGCTCTGAATTACTGAAAATAACACACTCATTTATTTAAAAAAATGTCATATATCTAGAAATGATTGTATTACATAATTATTGTACAAATGATTGTATCAGTGATTTAATTATGCATAGCTTCACATTAGAATATTGTTTAAATGTATTTTATGTTGTGCCTTTTGCCAATTATTGTAAATGTGTTTGCGCCATAAATATTGTATTGTATATAAGGAGAGGAAGAACTAAGTATAAGTACTTGTTTCTAATCCTTTTGATGTACTCAATAGAATATGTTCAAAACGACTTTCTGATTAGCTTTTTAAATTGCTTTTGAAGGTTTTTCAAGCTCATCGATGATGATGCAAGGATGACCTTGAGCAGTGTAGTTTTTTTTTTTAAAAAGTAGTATATATTGTATTATGATTATTTCATTAACCATGTTTGTTTCATATTGTTTACCAGATGACTGTCCAGAATATATTTAGCCATTTCACAAAATCCCCGTTACTTCAACCAATCAATTAATCAACTATCACTAAAATCACAACATTAATCAGAGATGTCTCTGGTTTTATAAACTGGGGATAATCTTATGGAATGTTTAAACGTACGTACTGAATGGCAGAGAACATAACGTATTTTGCAATAACTTAAAGTGAGAACACAGATCTCTCTCTCTCTCTCTCTCTCTCTCTCTCCCCAGTATACGAGATTTTTAAAAATGCAATATAGATAATTTTTCACTAAATCTCAGTTAAACGATTTCCATCAAGAGACAATGAAATAAACTGCCTTTTTCGTGATTTAGTCTGCTATAAAAATGGTCTCCCTACAAAAATGAATGGAATCATCCAGATGTCAATTACATGCTAATGAAACAATTGGAATAAAACTAATTAACTATATGAATTATATAAATCAAGTCAAAAATAAACTGCCGATAGCGATTAATAGGGAAAACTTTTATCGACCTATCTGTAAGGTGAACACCCCTAAAAAGGACGATTCCAAGTCGCTGAGATGTCAACATGGCGGAGGAAAATATGACATCCGCCGTTAGTTCAGAAACAAGTGGGAAAATATTTGAAGATGTGTTTGTCAATGGGTGTACGGATATCATGGACGATAGTGTTAAAGAATCGGATGATGTTCAGACGCCAACCGAGGAAAACCATTCAAATGAACCCATCATGCCACGAAAAAGTAGCTTCATGTGCAAAGATGGGAGCAGAAAACCACCTCGAAAAAAGACCGTATCATTCAGCAGCATGCCTACAGAGCGGAAAATTGCAACAGGTAGATATTTTATCAGGGAGTTGAAAAAATTAACATCACTGTACATGTTCTTTAATCATTTTATCTCAAAGCATTAAATGTAATCATACATTAAAAACCCGAAAACTTCATGAAGTTACTATGCAGCCACGCCAAAGTTAATGCTATCATCTCGCGTCATTGTCGGTATATTATCATCTGTTTAAGTAGTAATCTTTATATTATACATAGTTCCTAAGGCTATGTCATTATACTAAGTATAGAACAATTGGAATTATCTATATTGAGCTGCATGCTGTTTTAATACATCATTACACATGACAGTACCTAACCCTTGAGATCTAACTTTGTGTAATTAAATTGCAGTCAAATAAATGCAGCATTTAGTTTATTGTATGCAGAAAAAAAAAAGAAAAGAAAAGTAACGTATGCACATCTTAATCAAACAAAGTCTTCAAAGACTGCATTTGATTTTCATAATTTGTGGCTAAAGGTGATATGCCAAGCTTCATGTAATTTTTGTTAAAAATTTGCTTAGTGTAAGATTAAGATCGACTCATTAACAAGAGCATTCAGTTTTAGCAAATTCACATATATTCCACATTGTTCCACTACTTATTGAGTGGTCATTGAAAAAAAATACTCACATCCCTAATGTATTTTATGACATAATAAGACTCACATATGAACTTTAGAGGGAGACTTAATTCTTCTTAAAATTGATGTAGGAAAGAAAACGTATACTAATTAGAGACTTTCATTTTTACTTCATAATTTTTGCTTTGCACTTTAAAGATGGTTCTAGTGGTATATATTTGCTGTTTCATGATTATAACTATTTGATCACTTGTATGCAGTTGGGATGTGTTATAAAGATCTGATTCAACATTTACCCCCAACCTCCCATCCCACCCCCACCCCAAAAAACAAACAAATCATTGGTGAATTGTTCAAGTAATGGCACATTAATAAGATTACAAGGATCATTTTTTGGAATGTCTAAAGGAATTATTTCCTAAAAACACACAGTAAGGGAATAAAATCTGCATCCTGAAGAATATGCTTGAAATCACAATAAAAGCCATCCTTTCTGACTAAAGTTTAACATGACTGTATAGATAATTCTGATTTCTCAGCACACTTAAGACGGTGTGTATACAGTTGCACATGAACACAGTGAAAAAAAAATGAGCAAGCTATGTAAATTTTTATTTGTACATCATTTGTCATTCAAAGTCATAGTTTAGACAAGAACTTCTATGATAATGACAACTATGGTGTTAAAAAATATTTTAAATGTCTTTTTACATGGCTTATTGTAATTAAATATGGAGGTAAAATTTATTGGAAACAAATATTTCTTCAAAGTAAAACCAGGAAATGAAGGAAAATATGATAACTTGTTATACTATCTATTATATCATATTTATACTGTTTGACAGCTACCTGAAGGTATTTCATTTATTGGATTGAGTATATATATGCAGTTCACATGTTGGTGCTTAGATAGAATTATTTAATTTCTGAAAAAAGCTTTGATTTAAAACTTAAAAAAAGAAGAGTTAATCCACATTTTTGTTGGTTGTTCACATCTTGAATTGCATACATTATATATTCCACACAGTTTTAAATGTTTTCATAAACACACATTCATAACTAAGGCTATTGAAACAATTACATATAGATTTTTTTTTCTAGTGAAGACAATACGATATAGAGAATTTTTATTTAGGCTTTTGCTGAATTGAAATGTTTGCTTTACTAATGGCTGGGGCATCAGAATGAGTCAACAATATGGCTAAAAAGGCACTTATAGTTTCCTAAAGTAATCAATGCATTTTCAGAGCAGTACTACGTGTACATATAATTTTATATTATTTTTGGCCATTGTCATGATACTATCTTTCAAATGACACAAATATAGTTGACAACATATATATATCAAATTATTTAAATAAATTACAACTTTCAGTTGTATGTGTCTGATATGTCAGTCACATTTACATGTTTGCTTTGACTTTTAATTTATTTTGGGAAACAAAAAAATATTTGAATATTACAATAATTGAATGTTTTAATTGGGTTGTTTCATTACAGATATGACATTAAATATCTGCAGCAAACTTATATATTATGCATACATTTAAATTGATTAGTTAGTTCTTAAATCAGAATAAAAGTTGCCCCCACCCCCACTTTATGTAAATTCACTTAATTGCTGTCAAAGCTAGTCATTTTCATATTACTTCAGTGCACAGTTGGTCTTATGATGGCGATTAGTAAGTGTCAGGGTAATCGAGTCCACCATGGTACTAAGTTGTGGTTAACTTTGCCTTGCTGCTAGAGAAACCACAATGAAATCTTTCTGGTATTTAGTCCCCCTTTTGTGGTAAATCTGTAGTACTTTACAAGTTCAGAGTTGATGATATATATACCAGAAGATGTCACTTATGCTGAGCTATCACTTTCCTGTGTTTGACACCTAATTTACAAGGTGAAAACTTCACCTTTACTACAATTTTGTATTCTTGAAGTATAACTGTGATAGCTTATATATTTATAAATGCAGTATTTACATGTAGGACTTAAATTCCATGCAGTGTTTAAATTTGATTCACTGCTTCTATTTAAAAATCAGCATTATGAAGTAATTATGTAATTAATACATGTACATTACATAATAATGCAGACAGGTTCTGTAATTTGATGTATTGTAACAGTGTATTTCCATGCTTTGCAGATGCTATAAATATATCTTCATACTCACTGATGTAATACATATGATAGTAGTGTTCTTAAAAAAATAAAGATTGAAATGGTATTTTAGTGAGGTTGTTAATTAAGTGTCAGAAAATAAGATAAATTTCATTTCAAGAGAACACGTACATTCTTCAGTTCATGACATTTGTGAAATTTTTGCTCATTTTAAAAGCTTTTCATTATTATCATTGCCATCAAAATATTTGAATCCTTTAAAATGGTTGTAGCTAGGATCTAAAACTTGTTTTCTATTCATTCAAATTGAATGTTGTAGATATTTCATTCATGAACAAAGGATTGTTAGTCTCAGATACATTATAATTATCAAATGTGACCCTTGGAGTTTCACATTTAACACATAGATGATTCCCGGCGGGCGAAAATCAACAATGGCATATATACTTAGACATATCAGTGGTTTGTTTGGTGTATGTACATGCATTATTAATTTAAGTATAATGATATTGGAAATCACACATGAAGGTCTAACTATTCTAGACCTTGTGTTGACACTGAGATAGTTTATATATCTAGCACCTTAAACCTTAGAGTTCGATTGCAGCTGTTATTCATACTATAAAACTAACGGTAATTATCATGAAGTTTGTACCTAATGTCCCCTTTAAAACTGTTGCATTTTGTTATGTAAATGCTTGTGCAATATGTTACTGTTTATTTTTATGAGATCGATTTACTCATATCTTATCTAAAAAAGACACTTGTTCAAATGAATCGATCTTTTGTTTTTTTGCCTTCATGTATCACAGCCCATTCAAAATCTACCAGTACCCGGTACTTTTACCCATCTGAAATCGTGATTGTACTGTCCAGTGTATCCATTGGAGAAAAATTTGATAATATATTTAATTAAAATCATGTCCACAAGGTACCTCCTATTTTTGTAAAAGTACCACCTGTTTCTAATCTTTTTGAAAGCCCTGGTATCATGGTGCTTGTGGGGCGTATGGACTATGGACCCCCCCCCCCCCCCCAATATTCTGGGTACAGTGTTTAAGTATTTATTCTGCATGATGTTAGCTTCAATATCTTCCTGTTTCTTCATTGACATCATGTACATAAATCCATATTTTGACATACAGAAAAAAAGAAAGGCTAATTGTTAGTAAATTTCCTGTTTCCTCTTGTGTCTAATCTGTGTTGAGTAGATTTTATGTAAATGCTGCCAGTTTTGTTATTTTATAATTTGAATTTATTTTGGGGGTAGGGGGAAACGAAGGGGAGGGGGGATAGGGTGGGGGGGGGGTCAGGCAGGTCAACTTTAAATTATATCATACGTACTCATCTTTTTAAACATCTTGCTTAAAATTTAGCTTGTCATCATGACATTGTCTTGGAATAAATGTCTTAAGAGCAGAAGGTCATGATATTTGAGCCCTGACTTTCTTTGAAAATGCATAGTAGATCTGAACCAGGCAGTAATAAATGCAAAATATTTCCTCCCTAGTTTTTGAAGTACCTACATGTTCTCTGAAAACACTCTGTTCAGTTCATGAAGGCAAGCCCAATTTCTAGTTCAGTAGAACGGCAAACAGTTGACGCTATTTTTTCCTTCTAAATATTCCATTCCATGATTTCCATCTGACCTAAGGACTCAAAAATATGGAACAGTGTACCTTGATTGAATTTTACATTACTTACTTACGTATAGTCCTCTTTGTGCTTTGAGAGCATAAGGCCTGTGAATTTTACATAGATCTGTGTAAATTTTAACGTGATGAATTATCAACATCACTCTGAATGCTACAAAGAAAGCATAAAAAACTAGAAATATGTTCATAGGACATGAATGCTTAGCCAAGATGCATTTGTATTCCCGTTGCAACATGAAAAGAAATGTACCTTCCTTCTAAAAAAATTATGATACAATTTAATTGAAGTTGTATTTAGTACTTATATAAAGTTTAACAAAAACATCTTTAGCCCTTTTTTTGAAACATAGGTAACTGCAAAAAATGAAGTAATAGTGAGGTCAACTTGTCATTAGAAATGTCAGGAAAAGAAAATAATATCACAGATGAATTGCTCTCACCAGTATGCATCTTAGTATGTGAAGTTTGATTAAAATATCTTGAAAGGTGGTGTTGAAGGTCAGGGAAAAGTTAAAGTCATGAGAAATGTCAAGGTTGGAAAATTATGACACAGTTGAATAACTCTCATCAATTTGAATTAGTGTATGAAGTTTGATGAAAGTATTATGAACAGTTTTTTTTTTTTTTGAATTGTGCTAAATGCAGAACAATTAATTGTGAGGTTCAAGGTCATGGAAGTCATAGTAAATTTTTTTGACACAATCAAATAGCTCTAATCAATTTATTTCTTATGAAGTTAGATGAAAATATGTTGAACAGTTTCTTTGAAACTGAGAGAATTAGATAATGAGGAATAGTGGGACAAGGTCAAAAGGAAGATCAAGGGCATAAAGTTCTGACACAGTCGAATAGCCCATTTAAATTTGTAATTGTATATTTGAAAGATGATTCATAAAAATATCAAGAACAATTTCTTTGAAACTAAGATAAATGCAAAATGACAAATAGTGGGACAAATGTCCTATGGAAGGTCAAGGTCAGAAAATTAAGACGGTTGTTTGAATAGTCCCCACCAATATATTTATCAGTATATGAAGTTTTGATGAAAATATTAACAAGATTATGAACAGTTTCTTCTAAATTAAGTGTTGAATGACAAATAAATAATAGTGAGGTCAAGGTCATAGAGAAGGTCATTATCAGAAAATTATGACACAGTTGAATACATCCCACCAATATGTATCATCATATGAGTTTTGATAAAATTATCTTAAATAAAATGCCTGGTAGCATCTTTGAAACTGAGTGAAACACAAAATAAGGAATACAGAAGTCAAGGTCACAAAATTATCCCACAGTTGAATAGCACTCATAAATATGTACATGTATTGGTATTTGAATTTTGGTTAAAATGTCTTGAATAGTTTCTTTCAAACTGAGGTAAGTGCAAAGTGTGACACAAAGACTGAAGGACAGAAGTGTGGAAACATGAAAAGATGGCAGACAGACATGACAAAACACTATTTAACTCTGTCATATTCATGGTGGGGCAAAGAAATATTTTAAACTTTGTATTTCTCATCTTCAAAGATATATGATTTGTTCCATCAAAACATGATAGCAGTTCCTTTCTGTTGTACCCAGACATTCAAAGTTGGATGTAATCATTAGAGCCCATTATTAGCATTTCAGAGCAGCCTGTACTATACATATACTGGGCAAGAAAGTAATGTGTCTGACTAGACTCAGCATAATATGTAGGAAAAAAATAAACATTATACTCTGGAGGAGCCATTGAAGCAGACCAGGGTTTATTCTTGGAAACATCTCTCGACATTTGATCTATATATGTAGATCTGAAGGTTGAGCAATGGGAGGAAATACTTTACTTTCAGGGGTTATTGGGAAACAAGATAATTACCACATTGATTTTAGGTTTCTATCAAGTCATTGCGTTTCGTGTATAATACATATGTAAATGCAGAAGAATTGAGACTGGTTATTACATGAATGATATCCGTGTTTAGTATGTATGAGAATTCTATATCAAATCTCTCAGAAAAAAATGCTTACGCAGATGGAAATCCGTTATTTAAGGTTGTCATCTAGTACTGAATGATTGGTCATTGTTGAAATAAGGAAGTCAGACTCAAGGAATATAGTAGGTACAGTCAAAGCTTGTTGTCTCAAACATGAAGGGACCGAGAAAATACTTTGAGATAACCGAAGATTCGAGATATCCAGGGTAAAATACTTAAGGAATAAGCAGTTGGGATTTCAAAATCACTTCGACATATCCATGGTATTTGAGATATCCGTGTTTGAGAAACCGAAGTTCAACTGTACAATGTGTATATAAAAGTATGCTAGTATATTATATAGTATGGGATTAAATTTTTAATGTCAGCATTCACTTTTATTTATTCATATTATATATCATCAGTCATTGACAGAATTATAGGAACCAAGCTAAAGTATTGATGAATATTAGTTTTATTTCCGGATTTCCTCCATCTAAAATAACACCCACTTACATTATGTAATAAAAACCTATTTTTGATTTTAGCAAGTTTTACTTGAATAAATGGTACAACTAATTAACCCAGTATTGAGTTTGTATATGTATTTGTCATCATTTCCTTGTAGTTAAAATTTGTTTCTACCTTTTAAGTATCCAATAACCTAGCCCAGTAACATACTCATGGGGGAGGTAATTTGCTTCCTGCTGTGTTTTGGTTCAGAAGCAGTTGTAAAATTAAAGAAATGATCATATTTTTTTTGTAAAAATCAAGTTTACTGTCTTTGCACTAAAAGTTTAACCCCTGAATTCTCAGACGAAGATATTTATACAAGAAATGGTGTTAAAACTGCAGACACATTGTTATTTATTTTTGTAGCTGATGCTGACTCTGAGTAATTGATGATGATTGAAGGTGATTTTTGGTGTCATAAGTGAACCAACCTCTTTGTGTTTTTGTAGCTCAAGACTGTCTTCAATGTATGCAGAGCGGCAGCGAATTAATAAAAGTCCGGTCCAACAGTCGTCAATACCATCGTATATTTACACTCAACCCAGACATGACAGAAATCCGTTGGCAGCCGACATCCAAAAAACCCCACAAAGCCCGAAGTAAGTAAACAGATTACATAAAATGTAATAGGAGGGCTCTAAGTAAGTTTTTAAAAAAAAAAATCTCTGCAAAGCCCCAAACCCCCACCCAAAACACACATCACACACACCCCAAAAATAATTTAAAGAGGTCCCCCAAAAAACTTCAAAATCTGAAGTAATTTCAGAGAGTATACAGGTTTTGTAGTGCTTTATTCATGCTTTTTTTGTAAACTTGGTTAAATTTCTGGATCAGGATTTTTGTCTGCTTATAATACATGTATGTGGGAAGTTCTACTTACAATGCAGCTGTCCAATCAAGCATTTTTCTTAACTTGAAAAATTTTAAATGTTGACCCTCAGAAGTTAACTCTTAGTTTTTATGCTTTCAATTTTTGCATTTCCAATCAACAGGTTACAATGAAGGTAGAGGGGTATAAATATTGTGTGATTCTATTTTATTGCAAAATCCTGTAGAAATTACAGAACCACAGAAAAAAAAATCTGAACATTCAAAATTACAAGCAAAATCCATATGTATAATTCTTAACAATTAAACCTCTCCCTATTTGATCATCTGGCAGAGTCTCTTTGAATAGTCTGCTCATGCATACACATCTTCATTTTGATTATATTATACAGTTTTCAGAAATATACCCTAAAGATACTGTTCTCCTTTAATTAAATTCATTTATTAATCAGCGGAACACATTTCATTTCTCATCACTACACATATAAGCATATGAGCCTATTGGTCAAGTGACTGTCCAGAAGAAAGGCAAAGCTGTATCCGATATTGATTAAACAATTGGGACTTAATACTTCCATCGGACAGTTAGCATGTTTAACATTATTGAGGATGACAGAACTTTCTCATTACCACGGCCACTTATTGGTTAGAGCCGTATATGCACACACAATGAAACATACAGCTTAAACGGTATTTCCTAGCACAAAGCTCCTAAGAGTTCAAGGTAGAGGCTCTATGTATGGAACTTTTATATTAAAGTCAGAGTTGATGAGTGTTAAAGATGTTCATTAAAGAAAAAAAAATACCTGTTTATACAGTTAGTGAGAAATTTTAAATGTTGTATAGTAGAACATGATTAAAGGGAACCTGCTGATAATGAATTTATGCATATAGTGAATGGATTTTCATTCCCTGTAGATTTAAGACATATGCACTAGTTGTATATGCATGATTTAATGAAGTTCATTTTTAACAAATTTATTTGTCCATGACACTTCATATTATAAGTGTGTCTTAATGTATAAAGAAACTTAAACAAAGGCTCTTCAACCAACATTAGCTCTCATTTCTTGTAAATATTTGCTAAAATTTGTGAATTACGTACTGATAATATTGAAGAATTTTTACTTTGAATCCCATTCATTAGCTTAAGATTAATGATTGCATGTACACTTCAGCATCTGAAAAACTATATTCAGTAACAATTTACACATTACACATGTTACATGTGTTATCACAGTCTGACTTAAAAGCTTTCACTTTAGATGATTCTTTGATTCCTAATATAGCAGATAATTTTGATTAAGACTTGATAAGCTATCTCGTTTTTTAAATTTGATAATGTCAGATTTTCATTCATATTGACTATGAATCATAATTTGTTTGCAAGACATGTGTATTCCTTTTGACAATACCTTTTTTAACTCTTCTGAGCAAAAGGCTCAAAGAGCTAATGCTATGGCCATTTGTGCGGTGTGCGTAAACTTTTTAGAATATGGGCCATAACTCAAGAACCCCTTGGCCAATTATTGTCAAATTTGTCACAGGGTATCCTTGGCCCAAGGGCTCCCTTTTATACTAAAACTGGGATTGTGACCCTTTAACAAGGGGAGATAATTAGGAAAATAGAAAAAAAAGTACTGGTTGCTAAAAATCTTCTTCTCAAGAACCACTGGGCAGATTATCACCAAACTTACACAAAAGGATGAGGATATGTTGTAGATTAAAATTTGCACAGGGATTTACCCTGGGGCAAAGGGCGTGGTCTCAAGGTCACTTCAAAGTTGACCAAAAATTACATTTTATTAAAATGTTGATATTTGGCTTACTATAAGGACTAGGATCATCAAATCTTGTCAGTTGGTGCATCTAAGGACCTCATATCATGTTGACTCAAAAGTAGGTCACGGTGACCTACTTTTTAAATTTTGCGGCCATTCTTTTTCAAAATGATTTAGAGGCATATTTTGAACAATTTAAGGCCTATGATCATCAAACTTTGTCAGTTGATGCATCTTGGGTCCTCAAAGTATGTCAACTAAAAAGTAGGTCACCTTGACCTACTTTTTGAATTTTATGGCTAATCTTTTTTAAAACAATTAAGGTCATTAATTCGAATACGGGGAGGCTTAGAATCATTAAATCTTGTAAGATGATGCATCTTGGGGCCATAAAACATATTTATTAAAAAGTAGGTCACAGTGACCTACTTTTTGAACTTTGCAGGCATTCGATTTCAAAGTGTTTTAGAGGCATAATTTGGACATTTTAAGTCCTATGATCATAAAACTTTGTAAGTTGATGCATCTTGGGTCCTCAAAAAAGGTCAACTGAAAAGTAGGTCACCGTGACCTACTTTTCAATTTATATGACTATAATTAAATATTTCAGGCACTAATTGGCTTAGAATCATCAAACTTTGTCAGTTGATGCATCTTGGGTCTTCGGAGTAGGTCGACTAAAAAGTAGGTCACCGTGACCTACTTTTGAAAATTTATGGCTTTAATTAAATATTTCAGGTACTAATTGGCTTAGAATCATCAAACTTTGTCAGTTGATGCGTCATGGGTCTTCGGAGTAGGTCGACTAAAAAGTAGGTCACCGTGACCTACTTTCGGAAAATTTATGGCTTTAATCAAATATTTCAGGTACTAATTGGCTTAGAATCATAAAACTTTGTCAGTTTATGCGTCATGGGTCCTCGGAGTACAACAACTGAAAAGTAGGTCACGGTGACCTACTTTTGAAAATTTATGGCTTTAATCAAATATTTCAGGTACTAATTGGCTTAGAATCATTAAACTTTGTCAGTTGATGCGTCTTGGGTCTTCGGAGTACAACAACTGAAAAGAAGGTCACGGTGACCTACTTTTGAAATTTTATGGCTGTATTTAATATTTTCAGGAATTATTTGGCTTAGAATCGTCAAAATTTGTCAGTTGAAGCACCTTTTGTCCTCGGAGTAGGTTGACTGAAAAGTAGGTCACGGTGACCTATTTTTGAAAATTTATGGCTTTAATTAAATATTACAGGTACTAATTGGCTTAGAATCATCAAACTTTGTCAGTTGATGCATCTTGGGTCCTTGGAGTAAAACAATTGAAAAGTAGGTCACTTTGAGCTACTTATAAAATTTTATGATTATAATTTTAAAAAACATTATAGGTATTAATTGGCTTAGAATCATCAAACTTAGTTGATGGGTCCTCAGAGAATGACAAGTGATAAGTAGGTCACCATGACCAACTCTCAGGTACTAATTGGCATAGAATCATCTTGGGTTCTCAGAGTGTGAATTGGAATTTCAAGGGTTTATGTAAATATACAGGATACTTCGAAGCTTCAAATAGAAGTGATAGGTTGTACAGTTTATCAGAAGAGCGATTCAAGGCCCATGGGCCTCTTGTTTTGGTTACTAATAACTTGACCTTGGAGTTTGACCTACTTTTGAAAAACTTTAACCTTGTGCTATAAGTTTAATGCTTTGGAGGTAGGGCTTTCATACTTCACATGTTTATTCCTTGTGACAAGACATTTCCTTATGTGCAAATAACTTTAACTTTGACCTTGGAGCTTGACATACTTTTGAAAAACTTGAACCTTGGCCATAACTTTTGAATGGTTGGTGCTATGGCTGTCATATTTCACAGATGTATTCCTTGTGACAAGACCTTTTCTTAAGTACAAAGATTTTTAACCTCACGATGTTAACCTTGGAGTTTGACTTACTTTTGAAAAATTTGATCTGACTGTAATTTCTTAAGGTTGGTGCTGTGGCTTTCATATTTCACAGGTGTATTCTTTGTAACAAGACTTTTCTTTTAGTACCAACACTTTTAATCCCTTGACCTTGACCTTGGAGTTTGACTTGCATTTGAGCAACTTTAACCTTAGCCATGAGCTGCCATATGGAGGCGTCAGTGTTTCAGAAACACATCTTTATTCTTTTTTCTGTATACAGGGTTATTTTCGCACACTTGCAAACAGTTTTGCCCATTTTAAATTCACCAAGACACATGCAGTTCTGATAAAGTAAAACCTTGGCTTTCTCTGAATTCATACCATTTGAAATTCATCCATTATGCTATGAAAGGGGCGAAAAATTCTTTGCATACAGTACATGTTTGTTATATAGATTAGTGCTTGTTTTATATCTTTTAACTTTATTAGGTGAAATGAATTAATAAACTTTGAAGGATTCCATAATTATAATGCTGAAGTAATGGCATGAGATATTCCCAAATATCTACTATCAGAAGTTAACGACAAATATAAGTTAAAAAAAAAAGTGCCCTTTTTATCTTGCACCTCTCCATTATCAGATCCTAGCTGGAACACTGGTATATAGTACACATTGTATTAATCTTATGTTTTGGACTTTCAATTTAGCCAATTAATTGAAAAAGCTCTAGTTGGCTGAACAATGTTCATGATGCTGAAACGAAAATTATCCCTTCATTAAATGTAGTGTTGTGTAAATATCGTTTTCTAGCATTTAGATAGAGTAATCATCCTCAATAAGGTCATTTGGGCAGTTTATTTGTAATTTTATGGCAACTAGATGAATGAGTGGAAATGGTAAGTTGACTGTAGGAGTGTTTCTTAAGCTCTTTTTATGCCCCCATATCGAAGATTCGGGGGTATATAGTTTTTGCCCTCTCCGTCCGTCTGTCTGTTTGTCTGCAAAAACTTTAACCTTGCCCATAACTTTTGATTGGTTGGAGCTATGACTTTCATATTTCACATGTGTATTCCTTGTGACAAGACCTTTCTTTGGATACCATCTTATTTGACCTTTTGACCTTGGAGTTTGACCCACTTTTGCAAAATTTTATGAGACTTTAACCTTGACCAAAACTTTTGAACAGTTGGAGCTTGGGCTTTCAAACTTCACATGTGTATTCCTTGTGACAAGACCTTCCTTTGGATACCAACCACTTTGACCCTTTGACCTTGACCCAGGAGTTTGACATACTTTTGGAAAACTTTAACCTTAGCTATAACTTTTAAACATTTTGTGCTAGGGCTTTCATACTTCACATGTGCATTCCTTGTGACAAGACTTTCCTTTGGATACCAACAATTTTGGCATTGACCTTGACCTTGGAGTTTGACCTTCTTTTAAAAAACTTTAACCTTGGTCATAACATTTGGTTCTAGGGCTTTCACATTTTACGAACATGTGTATCACTTGTGACAAGACCTTCCCTTGGGGCCCCATTTGACCTTGACGTTTACTTACTTTTAAAAAACTTATACCTTTGCCACAACTTTTGAAGAGTTGGTGCTAGGGCTTTCATATTTCACAGGTATATTCCTAGAGACAAGACCTTTCTTTGGGTATCAACATTTTTGATCTCTTGACCTGGAGTTTGACTTGCACTTGAGAAACTTTAACCTTCGCTATGAGCTGCCATATGGGGGGCATCAGTGTTTCACAAACACATCTTGTTTTTTTATGAAGCTCTACATGTCTTAATTTTTCAGTATAACTATAGGCATTTTAAAACTTTGGAATAGAGTGATCATGGACTGGTGAAAATATAATTTAGACTAGCTTTAAAAAGAAAAAAAATCTTTCCTTTTTCCAGATATGCCTGTAAGCAAGGTGGTTGTCCTTAAGACCTGGGGCCAAGGAATTTCCTTGCTTATAATGATGTTATCCCCCAATTAATCTGGTATTCCCCCTAAACCCCCTGTTAGGGAAGGAACCCGAGACCCCCTTCTACTTTTTTAATGTCCCCTGCTATTTCAGTTCTTAGGGACAACCCTGATGAAGTTAGATAATCTGCTTTATCAATATAAGACTCAGAAAATGATTTTGCTGACATCCTAAAGATCATGAGTCATTGAGATGTATACTGTAAAAAAAAAAACCCTATCTTTTAATAAAAGTAATTTTCTTATTAAGCAGAAGCTTACTCAATAAATTAATAATCTGGACTTCAGCAAAAGTGTCCTGGAATGACCCAGGTGTCAAAGTAGTAATCTTATATCTGTAGTGCCGATATTTGTTTTTTAATCCTGCATTAATACAATACTTTGCATTCATTTTACATGTCAAAGACCAGCAATAATTTAATCTCTTTAATAATTATGTCTGCAAATTAATATACTTATATTAAGGAATTACACTTAAGTATAAATATATGTATATTTCTGTGTGTGTATGTGTGTGGTTTATCAGTAATGTTGTAAAATTAGCAGTATTAGAAAGGGACAATGTTTGGAGAATGTGTCTGGACAGAGAAGCTATTATGAGGAAATGATTGTAAACCTTTAGTTTTCTTATCTTAATTACCTGTTAAAGATGACATCAAAGGCTTTCAATATGTAGATCTCTTCCTGGAGATGTGTGCTATCGGCAGCTAGTGTACAGATTCTTATTATTTCAGCTGCAAGGTGGAGAATCGGAGAGATATTAGAACATATTTCAGTCAACTCATGCAGCAAATATCCTGTAAGATATATTCCCCTCCCCTTGTATAGGAAGGCAATCATAATTAACTCGTAATGCAGCAGATAGCTAACATTCAGACCGACTGTCACAACTTATGGTTTAGAGGTTTGACTGATAGGCATCAAATATTTATGCTGTCAAATTAGATTAGACTGTCTTCATATCAACAATTTGCATCATTGGAGACATTATAAAAGTACATTAATTCTATTTATATGATTCAGTGCATTAATGCATCATTGAGGTTCCGTCATGAGACAAAATGTGCTCTAGTTCACCCGTACCACAATGGGTTGTAATTTGGCTCACATACAGGTTACTGTCAACAATTTAGTTACTTTTGCATCATAAAATATTTTTATTTGTTATAGATGACTAATTTATAGATTGATAGATTATTAGTATATTTACTGTGAAAGGTCTTACTTGGAGAAGTAAACTTAGTTTATATCGTTTTATTGAATCATCAGAATTGCAGGAACATTTAGCTAATGCACACTACGTCAGAAAAAGTAGTATATTAGTTTTCATACGGTTGAAATTTTTCATTGCATTAAAAGTCAATACTGGTGATTATAAATGTATTAATAGGAAAACAACGTATACATACTTTTTTTCTTAATTGTAATATTTGAAGAAAAAAATTCTTTTACTTTATAGCTATGATAAATTGTGGAAGAAAATGTTTCAACATGGGGAAAGTTCTTTTTTTTAAATTGAGCAGAGTGCACAAAGTATATATAATTTTATCCCATGTTTACCCCTTTATCACGTGGATATGACTCATTGGATAAATTTTTCATAATCCACAGTTGTGACGTCACAATGGTTTTTGCGTTAGCGCGATGAAGTAAAATAAAGTGGAGTCCTATATAAAACAGTGTAAAACATTGGTTGTGAAGTATTAAACATGTGATAAAAAGAATCTCCCATGATTTGTAGTTGGATATGACTTTTATCCAACTCGGTGTGTGCTTTTATCCCCTCGCCAAGGCTCGGGGATAAAAAACACACAACTCGTTGGATAAAAATCATATCCAACTACAAATCATGGGAGATCCTATATATATAAAGTGACTGTAATCATACTTATTTTTACGTGTGGGATTAATTTATGCTTTAATGTATGTGGTCACAATTAAATTGTACGAGAAACTTGTCACAGCCTACTTAAAGTACATACAAAGTGAGTCGAAGAAATTCGCATAATTTTCTACCCATGGATTGAGCAGAAATCACAATTCTGTGGAATAATAACTCCATGAAAAAAGGTACATTTACACTATGTATTTTTTTTGCTTGCAGTATCCATTGCTTCCATAAAAGAAGTCAGAGGTGGAAAAACCACAGAGGCCCTGAAGAATAAGGAAATAGCAGGGATTTATCAAGATGAGTGTGCTTTCTCTATCATCTTTGGTGAGGACTTTGAATCCATGGATCTCATTGCTAATACTCCAGATGAAGCCAATATATGGATTACTGGACTCACATGTCTCATCAACACAAGTGCCAAAACCGGAACACGTAAGGACAGAGTTTCACTTTAACAAGAAGTAGAAAGGGGGGTCAAATTTTTGTGGATGTTTATTTTTGGGAAGATGGTTAAATTAAGAAAGAACATAGTTTTTGCATTCTTGGTCCTAATTTTGTAGGATTTTATATATAAATATATCCTATTATCTGTGCTCCATGAAGTAACATGTCTACCCCAAATAAAGGGGGAAGAGTTAATTTAAATCATTTTGTATGATAGAAATATTTGGATATATATTTTTATACATATGATACAACATCAGTATGGTAGTAGTGTACAAAGGTCAGTTAAAAAAATGCTATTTATAGTCCAGTTCTTTAAATGCAGGCATATGGTAATTGCATATATATATACTGGTACAATATTTTGTTACATAGATAACACATTGTAGGAATAACATTGCTTGTAAACTAAGATGCCTATCCTAAAGTCAGCTTGTATTAAGAGATGAGGAAAAACAATTTTATATCAGGAAATCATTTACATTTTATGTTTTTTATAGTCCTTATTATGCTAGCTCCCAAAGCCAAAATTCCAATACAAAAAAGATAGTTCAATACTGCTTCATGCACCTAGTCTTATCTAGGTTCCAGAGCAGTGCCATTCTCCATCGACTCTTGGTCTTTTGGATGTTTTAATTGCTTCTGAAGATGCTCTCAGGATCTCCAGTGTAAACACTGGTGTGAGCACAATGTTGACTCTCTGTCTGATGATAAAATATGACAAGGAGATAAAGCCGACAACTCAGGACAGTCAACTACTGACAGCCCTGGCTGATTCATTTCCTCTTGACAAAGTCATAAGTTTCCAGGATGATAATTGTTAGTTTCCTTTATTGAGGTATAAACAAACCACAGCTCGTAACAATGTGCAGTTTTATTATAAAGAGCTGCGTGCCCAACTCCTGGTTGTACACATAATCATTTTGTTGTTGTTTGTATATAAATAAATGGAAAACTGTGCAGCTTGGAGACATGATACGCAAATCAAAATAATTAGAAAATGCTCGGGTTTATAGGGTACCAAAAGGTGCCATAATGGTGTTGTTCTAGATAGGGAACTAAATTAAAATTTGTACTCTCGTGTATATATAATTTTACCATAATTGTTACATTAAGTGCATATATCTTTCAGAAATTGTAAAAATTATGTCACTTCATTTCAGAGAAATGCAAAGGTTGATTTCACAATAACAGTGTTTTCTGTTCATAATTACATATTGTATGAGTTCAACAATTGTGACAGAGTTGTTGATTTCTATGTAGCTATTTAAAAGTGAATCTATGTTTGATAATTGGAGAGGAAAATTTAACTTCAGTCAGCTGTGTATTATAGCGACCATTTGTCTCATTAAGAGGGAAGAAGATCGAGATCTCAGTCCATCTTTGCCTGCAGTTATAAATTTTTCATTATTTGTAAATCAGCTAAGCATGCATACAACTATAAGGCATGACAATTGAAATTAATTTTTCTTTTATCTTTCCAGCCCCTGAAGCCATTGAAGAAATGCAACAAATGAGAGATTCATATCCTTTGTTTAGTGCTAATTTATTTTATGTACTAGATACCTTTCATGTTATATTTCAAACAAAGTTATTTGTACATACAGGTATATATATTTTTAGTTCATTTCCTCAAATAAGATATATAAATACCAGGTAAGTTCCTGTAAAATCATTTCCCTAATAATGGAACACTGGTTGAATTACCAGTCAGTTTGAACATTAAAAATATCAGTCAGGAAAAAAATAAAACATTATAAAAAGCAACAATGTTGCAAGAAATTCATGTTCAGGTGATATATTGATACTGTTTGCCGCTATGGATCAACTAGTGTGATTAACTTGTATATCACAAAGATTCAGTAGAAGCTGTTTGGGTGTAAAACTGTCATATGCCAATGAACTGCCAAGATAGCATCTTCTAAGACATTGAACTGGATGAGGTTGCATTTTCTTTCAGTAAATACCAAAATAAAAAGGTTTCTTTAGAATATTGAAAGAAGAAAACACACCTATATAGCTAATGCATCCATCAAGTGATGATTTTTTTTTAGCAATTTATTCTTAATTTTCAACAAACGTTTGCCAATATCTTTAATGTGTTTTATTATTTTTGCTAATGTATATTATGATTTTACCAGGAATATTAAGTGCATTTCTCAATTTTTTTTTCCCTTTCACAATTTTAGCTTTGATCACAGGATGTTCATGAGAAGATTTTAAGAAATAGTTGTGTACTGTTAATTTTGAGCTGTTTTTGCTACAGTTTACAAATCTTTAGACTGTAGCAAAAGGAATTAGATATATATAGAATAGCATTTTCTATGATGTTTGGAATTTTTATTTTTGCACAATAGAAGATTTCAAGAGCATTATAATTTGATGAATCTATCAATACCTTGGACTTTTAAAAGATGGTAACATGCTTATATTTACGTCACACTGAACATTCAAACAGTGATATAGACTGTGTACATGTATGTCACACCTGAACAAGGGATAGCAGAGGAAAATCGAGTTAAGTTGGTGCAAATGTTGTTTCCTATGACCATGTATGTCATCTCATTGCTCTTCATTAACAACTGAAAATTCGAGCTATCGATAGAAATGTCTCATTCAAAAGCATTCATTTTTGAAATTTGTTTTTCTTTTTTTAAATTTCCCTTTGAACTCTTTTTTTTTTTTTTTTTTAAATTTTTTTTAAAAATTCCCCTTCTAAATAGGACATCACAAATGTTTCACATACCAGAATAAACTAAGTCATAAAAGCTTTACATCTAACAAAGTATGCAGCATTTATACTTTAGATCAATTGCTTTTAAAGGATTAAAGCATATAATTATATATATATATATTCAAAGAAAATTAGTTTGTTGCATTATAAAACTTATTGATGATTATTTATACAATTTTTTCTGTATATAAGGTGCCAAGTAATGCATAACTAAAATAAATTCACATCTGATGTGCATTATCTGAAATGATTTGAATATTTTGTGTTAAGTGAGAGTCATTATACATGTTTGAGAATTTTTTTAAACAAAATTTTAATAAAATTCAAGCTTGAGTAATTCTTTCTTCTATATAATATTCAATTATTAGTTTACTAGATAAAATCAATGTTGATATGCCTGTTTTCAGATATTGATATAATAAATCTACTGAAGGAAAAATTATCAACCTTAACTCAATAATCACATGGCTACAGGAAATGTTTGAAACTGAGGCTAGCCAATCAGCAGGGACTCTGGACGAAAAGGGTGTGGTCAATTTAGTCGCCAAACTCAATAGCAATATTGCCACAGCTAGAGTCCAACAAAAAGTCAAGGTAGGTTCCCCATAAAAATACAGTCAAACCTCATTATCTCAAACTTCAAATTTCTAGATATCCAGCATTTGAGATACTGAGGTTAAAATACATAGAGAAAAAGTGGTTGGAGCTTCCAGTTTACTTGAGAAGTCCATTGTATCCTAGATATCCAGATGCCAAAGTTTAACTCATATATTCTGCAGCCAGGAAATGCTTATTTATATAAAGATGATTTATGGCTACTAAGCTACTACTCAATGCAATGAATTTAGAAATATTTGTACATATGGATACAATTGTTTTCCAAAGGATTATATTCTCTAATGACCAATATATGCCCCCCCCCCCCCCCCCCCCCGTAAAACTTTGATGGAGAAGTCTATGATTTATTTTTAAACCAAGTGGATATCCACAGACTTGAAAGCATAACCTATTTTTCAACAGCGATGATGTCATATATTAAATATTACGTCAAGAAGATGACGAAAATTCACTATTTCAATGATTTTGAGAGAGAAAGGTATATTTGACGTCAATGTTTTGATTAAATGTTGTGGAGTGCAGATTTGCCCCAGCTCAATCTTTTGATATAATGTGCAGAATTATAATGTTACTGAAATATGTGAATATTGTTCTTGGGCAAGCTTGCGCTTGGTAAATTCTATACTTAAAATTGAACAAATTTTGTCCAATTTGTCCTCTTTCTTGAAAGAAATGGAAAATACGAATAGTTTGTTACGCACATTACAGAAAAAAGAATTATAGGTCTCCCCTTTATGTGTTAGTAATAAATACATAGAATCAAAGACTTAAGAGATGGGCTGTTATTTAAAAATAGATTTTTTTTTCATGATACTGAAACATTGAGAGAGAGAGAGAGAAACTATTAATTATTCTGCACTGTAAACAAGTTATATCTAAGGGCTGAAAATTTTTTATGCCCTAGTAATGGAAGAATTGGGGAGCATATTGGTTTTGGTCTGTCTATCTGTGTAAGTGTTTTCACAAAAAAACTTTGCCCATATCTTTTGAACGGTTGGTGCTAGGGCCTTCATATTTCATATGTGTATTCCTTGTAACAAGACCTTTCTTTGGGTATCAATATATTTGACCTCTTGACCTTGGAATTTTACATACTTTTGCAAAATTTTACAGAACTCTAACCTTGGTCATAACTTGATCAGATCGGTTAGGGCTGTTATATTTTATGTGTATATTCCATTTGACCTTTCTTTTGGTACTTATATTTCTGAGCTATTGACCTTGACCTTGGAGTATGACCTATTTTTGGAAAAACTTTAACCTTGGCTTTAGTTTTTAAATGGTTGGTAGCTTACTAAGACTTTCATACTTCACATGTATATATTCCTTGTGACAAAGGCTTTTTTGGGTACCAATATTTTTAATCTTAACCTTGACCTTTGAGTATGACTGCCTTGGCCTCGAGTTGCCATACAGGGGCATGAGTGTTCACAAACAAATTTTGTTCTAAAATAGTCTTAGATCTTCTGTGAAAATCTATGGCTTTTGCAAGAAAATGTGATAAAAGTGAACAAAGACATCCTCATAAATTTGTTAAGCTAATATTGTTAGAGGAAGAGAAAAAAAGGACACACAGTTACTGAGGGAATACAGTGTGTCTAGCATTAGTTAAGGTTATTACAAGATGTGTTGCTTCATGAAAAGGGTAAGTGTCTTGTGATTTGTTTATCTGGCATGTCATTTTTAGATGGATAAGGAAGAATTTTAAGGCTATTGATTAGTATTGAATTAAAGCCATATTCCATGGGGGTGTTATCGAATTTTAGTATCCCGAATTTTTGCTGAAGCAAGATGATTTTCGATAAAAATCATTAAAGAAGATATTTCATGACCTTCTGATGATAAAAAAATGTCTCTATTTGTTTCAGTACTCTCATGTAGAATTAAGAAATGTAAATAATAGGGAGTATTTTGTCTGTAATTCTGTCTTTCATCTCAGGAAGGACCAAGAAAATCTATTGATTTTTTTGCAGGCAAAAGGTTCAATTTCTTAACTTATAACAAAGATTATTATTGGTGTTTGTGGTAATTAAAGCAAGTAAAAAAGAAATGTATTTACATCATAATATATATAAGGTAAATTTACATGTTAACCCAGCTGTGCGTATATCGATTCTTCAACATCCAGTAACTTGCAAGTGAATATGAAGGAAGAATTTAAGATTGTATATAATTAAAAGTATATTGCTGATAAAGTGATAAGATGTAAAATAGAAAGTGTTTATAATGTTTAATTCAACTTTTATTAATTTTTTTACCCCCCCCCCCCCCCCCCCACACACACACACACAAAAAAACACTTTCAGCCAAAGATGTTCAATAAAATGTGTGGCATATATTCTACTTAATTGCACGAAATCGGTAAACTATTATATGTTGAAGAATCACTTTGTACAAAGTTCAGATAACCTATAATTCTGCATAAAATGAGCCATGAACATCCCAGGTCTGGTTAATTACAAGGAGTCCTTTTGTTCTGCTGTGTCCATATCACTATGGATTATTGATGAACATCAGGAATTCTAATGATTGGTTATTATAAATGTAAGAGGTCAAAGATCAAATGGAATTTGTCCTGACGAAAGTAATTTGCCACAAGTTTGAATATTAAGCAGTTTTTCAAGTTAATTAAGTGTGATTAAGGTTAAGGGTAGATCTTGATGGCCCTGAAATTCTCCCAGAAGTCAATTCAATCTTCTTGCATAAATTCCTTGCATATCTTGCATATAGCATGTCAAATGTCCTCTTTGAGTTTCCTGATTCTCTCCATATGCTGATACTTTTGCAATGTGGAGAGCAACAATAATCTGTTTATAGGTTCCCCAATGATAAACATTTCTAGGTTTATCTGTGTTCTTCTGCATGATGCATATTTCTAGAATATGATATTGACATTGGATGACATTGGAGATATATTTGAATAAAGTCTGCAGTCCATTCATATGTTGGATGTATTTTTCCTCTCATTACAGTATAAATATATCTAAGAGTGAAAGATAAACGTACCATGAAATAAATTTTAAAAAAGTGCTTTTGTCACAAGAAATGAATTTATTGTTCAATTGTTAATGATATGATACATGTAACTCGGTTTTATAAATATTGGGTTAGTAATGATGAGTTGTATTCATGCAGATTTATTTAAATTTTCTACACTGGCCAATTGCACTGAAATGCTTTTTTATGTGCTGAATTATGTATCTTTAAAAGTTTTCAATTCGTTAAGTTTATTATATTATGTAACATTTTCCATCTATTACAGGTTTTCCAAGTGTGTTTTGCATCCTGAATAAACATTTGTAATTTCCTTTAAGACACCTTAGCCAAATATTCAAGTTCGCTCAATTCTTTCCTGTGTCAAGCATTTTACATGTTTTTTTCTCTTCTTTTTTCCCTCAAAAATTGATCTATGTTCTCTCATTGAACTAATGTCACATATTATATTCCTCTAGTGGTCCTGACAAAGTCTTTAAAAAAACTTTCTGAAGAGATTGAAAATTTTCAGAAATCACCAAGGCTTCTTAAATATTGCTGGTGACCTTTTTTTATGTACATTAAACATATGTTAAAGAATATGATTATGTTTTTGCAGGCATGTTTTGCATTTGAATCCTATTGCTATTTAATTATTATAGAAAAATATATTCCTGCATTTTTATTCCATGTCCACAATTTAAGAGCACATATTTATTACATATTAAATGCTGTTAAGGTTGACTATGGTACTTTGGCTCATGGTAATAATTGTATTTTAGTGATATTGTTTTTTATTTGTCTTTGACAGGAAATTGAATTAAACAGAGTTGAGTCTGCTGAAAGAGGGAGGTTGAACAGTGAAGAATTTATTAGCCTTTTTAAGGATGTTTCAACTCGACATGAAATTTACTTTCTATTAGTACGGTAGGTGTCTGGTACATATATAAAGATTAAATATGACAAGAGTGCCACTTCAGATAACAGAATAGCTTTAAATGGATGGGGGATATACTCTGTTAATTGTCTGTCCTAATGAAGTTTTGTGAAGACATTGTTTGAGCCCTTTCATCAGTGTGTCCCTCTTTTAAAGAATGTTGAGTGAGACATAAATTTGCAAGTCTTGAATGGAGTGAATTTAAGTTTTCATGATATGCTTATGCCTAAATATCATTGTGACTCAAGGCCATATTTTTAGAAAAATCAAAGGTCAAGGTCAGTGTAATGTTGAAATCATTTTGCCTTAAGTATCCATGACATATTGTTGTCTTATGGTCATTTCTCAATGAGAAAGGTCAATGGAAAATGAAATGTTATTTTCTTTTTGCTATAACTTGTAACCATTAAGACAAGAATTAACACAGTTTTAAGGTTATTGTTTTCAAAAACCCAGGCAAGTGTTATAATCCTGGTTCAAGGCCATGTCTTAAAGGTCAAAGCCATTTAAAAAGGAAAGTGCTCAGGTCTTTAGATTTTGTCAGTGCAATAGATATTTAATCATTTTATAAAATGTAGTCACCCGTGTTTTTTAACCATTACATTAGATATGATCTTAATTGAAAGACATATAGTGACAACCAAGTGTCTGCTAGGAAAGGGGTGGGGGCATTATATCTTATGCCACAAGTTTTAATCCATTTCCAGTCCTTGTAGGGCCATGAGGAATGGATGCATTAAAAGGGGAGGGGTGAGAGCTCAAAGACATCAATTATTGTCCACAGAAAAAAAAATAACAGCTTGATGAGGAGTGTATGGATACCAAGTTCTGTGTTGTTGTTGCCTTAATAATCAACACTTGGCACACATTACAGAATTTTACATGTCATTTTGTAGCTATAGTACCAGCCAAATTCTTAAACATGATATCTTAATAAGTGTGGATATTTAAGCATCTTTACCCCCTCAGACTTTTCTATGTAGAAAGCTTACTTTATATAAGAGATAATGATTGCTGAACTAATTGCTGATGATTGATTAACACATTAGATCTTTTTACTTCATGCTGCTTATTGAGCCATTGGGCAACATGGGCTATTAAAAGCCTTATCACGCTCGTAAAAGGCATGATAGCAGTGTTTGGACCATTGATGGAATATTGGGCATCATTGGGATGTTGGATCAATATAGGAATGGTAGCTCAGACATTGTTATCAAGTCAGATTCTTAGAACAAAGTTACCTTTAGGGTTCAGTTTAATGAAATAGAAATTGATGAATAATGTTACAATTGGGGGTGTTAGATCTACAGGAAATGTAGATTTATTATATTACATAACTTGATTTTTATTATTGAATGAAAGGATCATTCAGAAACAAAAAACAAATCCCCTTCCCCCAAAATCACAACATACTGGTACTTGTCCAAGCAAAAAATATACATCAGGGCTAGACAAATAGCATTGCCCGACGCCTGGGACAACCAATTTTGTTTGGCGGGCAAGTTATTTGATAAGTGGTACCTGCCCACGGGCGAGTGCTTCTCCAGTTAACAAAAAATCAAATGTTGTTTGTTTTACTGCTGTTGAAATGTAAGGAATCACAATAGAGCACCTGTTTTCGCTGCTGTTGACCACTTCATCGAACACTCGGTCAGAACTCCTCTAGAATTTTATGTGTAGTTAAAATATACACAAGACGTAAAACATAGCAGCTATCGATTCCATATCAAAAAAGTTGAAGAGGATTTTTAGAGCTTTATAGGTACATGTATTGTCAAAATGTAACATTCATGCAGTGAATACAAACGTTTTCTACTGATATTAAAATTAGAGCTGTTGACTGACGATCATACACAGAAAGTCACGATAGGCATGCAGTGGTGGTTTTCAAAATGAAATACTGCATAATATTTTTTGTTTTCAATTAAATGATTGCTCATTATTTTTAAATTAAAAAAAAGGGAATACCTCATCAAAGAATTTTGAAGAAAATAGAATGAAACTTGGACTTTATTAATACCCCGAAAATACGTAAAGAAATCTGAATCTTAAATGTAAAATTTTACTACTAAAACATGTAATGTAAAATAATGTATGCGTATTAATTCTAATGTGCATTTTAATTCTAATGCTTGATATTCATATGCCTTGCAATTGGAAATCATCAAATGATTTGGCGTCTTCATTTTTTTTTTCTCTTTGTGTATTTTTTGGATGCTAAAGTAATACAGAGAAATGTTTAAATTATGTACATGTATATAGATATACCCATTGCACAAGCTAGGAAATCTCCTTGGAACAACAATTACCCCTTAATTTTTCCCTGGAAGAATAAATTGATTTTGGGTCTAATTTAGTCCCCATGTAGTGTATCAATTGAGAAATAATTTTAATATAAACGATAATGCTTTAATTTTGTGTTGATTAAGAAAAAGGTGGGACAAGCATATTGTTTGGTAGGACAAGTAATTTTACGATGGTAACCTGTCCGAGGGCAAGTACTGAAAAATTCTATTTGTCTACCCCTGTACGTGCAGTCATGTGTATCATGGCAGTAGCTGTGTTGATCACATTTTACAATTGCTTTCTTTTTAATTTAAAGTACAGGTACTGTGGAATCATCAGTGTTCGTGGGGGATCATTTTCCTGGATTTCGTGGTTCAACCTTATCCACGAATTCACATCCCCAGGAACATTTATTTTTCAACATATTTATTCATCAAATCTTCTGTATGTACAAGTTACCAATGAAATTACATCCCCACAAACTAACCAACAAAATTTTGTTTGCCCACGAACATTGACCCCCCCATGAATTAAAATGATTCCACAGTATAGGACAAACTGCAATGAAAGGCAAAAAATAGCAAGATGTATAATTCAGTGTTTCCTTTTCCTATAAAGAAAATATATTAGGGCAACTATCTCATAGATTCACCGTAAGGAATGTAATATTTGTAGGGCTATGTTGGATAAGTATATCATGAGGAATATAATATTTTCAGTAATTTGTTGTATAGATATGCCATGGAGAGTTAAGCATTTAAGAATAAACTATGTCATATAGGTATGCCATGAAGAATATAATATTTTGAGGACTATGTTGTAGGTATGCCAGCAATACAGACTACCTCACCACAGATGACCTACTTCTATTTTTAGAAGCAGAGCAAGGAGTAAGTACAGTTCACATTTACATACTTACATACGATTGCCTTGTGTCTTGTTAAGCTCATTTTGTCATTCAAATTATGCTGAAATTTATTCATTCATAATTAATGGCTACTGCGTTACACAAAAATTTTCATTTCTGCAGTAAGACTGGTGAACTTTATGAAAAGTAATTTAACACCAGAAATGGATTTCTGTGGGACTACAGTGACCACAATATATGGCGGTAGCTTAAGGTCTCTACTTCCTTAATGATAGTGGGAGGCAAATTGAGAAAATTGAATCATTAGATAAATGGCAGAAAATTTTGGCATTGTTTTCAACAAAAGACTGAAAAATCCATTACCTCTTCCAGTAGGAAGTGCTGATTAATCCCAAGTCAATGATGTAAAATAAATTGAGATGAAATTTCAGATGATGGTTATAGCAAAGTAATGTTGCTTTATTTTTTTTTTTTTTAAACATTTTACTCTTTTTAACTTTACTTGTATTCTCATGTTGTAATCTGCTTTTTTTTTCATTTAAAATTGATTTTAATTTAATTTCCAAAGTGCTATGGTAAAATTCCTACTACCTTCTTTAGAAAATTAATTGCATATGGACTCCACTTCAATAAAGAATTCCCAGTACTGTGAACTGAATAGGAATTAATTTCATTACAGGCATTGTGAGATCTTTCTGTATAAAGTCTGTTGCCATCAATCAAAATAATGTTATATTAGGAGAAGAGAAAAATCCATTCTCTCATAATTGCTGATCAAAGAGCTGGTTTTTATACCCCCGCTCCGAAGGAGAGGGGGATATACTGTTTTACTCTTGTGTGTCTGTCTGTTTGTGTGTCTGTGTGTGTGTGTGTCTGTCCGTAACAAATTTTCGTCGCAGTTTTCTCAGCAACTACTCATCGCACATGCTTGAAATTTTAGCACACTTTTTGTCTAGGCATGCCATATGGTCGGAGACATTTTTACACAAATCTGATGTCAACTTCCTGTTTATCCGTGCATCTGTCCGTAACAAATTTTCGTCACAGTTTTCTCATTAGCTACTGACATTGCATATGCTTGAAATTTTAGCACACTCTTTGCCTAGGCATGCCATATGGTGGGATTATTTTTTTATACAAATCTGATGTCAACTTCCTGTTTATCCGTGCATCTGTCTTTAACAAATTTTCCTTGCAGTTTTCTCGGCAACTACTCATTGCTGATGCTTGAAATTTTAGCACATTCTTTGTCTAGGATTGCTATATGGTAAGATTCATTTTTGTACAAATCTTATGTCAACTTCCTGTTTATCCATGCATCTGTCCATACCAAATTTCTCAGCAACTACTCATTGCATGTGCTTGAAACTTTAGCACACTCTTTTTCTGGGCATGCCATATGGTGGGATTCATGAGAGCATATATTCACATCAGAGCGGGGGTATTACTAGTGAGCATTGGCTCACAGACTTCTTGTTTTTTTCCTTCAGGTAAAATCTTCAATATCCTTAAATAAAAAGAAAGAAAAAAAGAAATGAGCTGTTCATACATATACCCATTGTGCATTATTAATAAATTTCATTTCTTTAACAATCATCTAAATAAACAAAGCAAACAAGATTATTCATTTGGTATAATACTGAGTACATTGTATGGTTTCTTGGGTGTATATGACATTGGTTAAAAAGTAGGTGATCTGCATTGCAAATCAACCACAGAGGAGTCATTTTTCCTGGTCATCATGAGCTTCATTGTGAATGGACAGAAAAAATTTTCTTTGTGCAGGAGCTGATATTTACAGTGTGTCTTTGTAGTATATGCTATGAATATCATTAGCTTTTTTATCATTTACTTATGATACATTGACCTTAAGGAAAATAAATCCTTGCTTAGTAAACATCTTGTTTGTGTGACTTATTTTCAGATGCAAAGAGTGACGAAAGACAAATGTATTGATATAATCAATAGGTTTGAACCCTCAAAAGACGGGAGAAAGAAAGGGCAGTTAGGAATAGATGGTGAGTTAATTGAACAAACAGGAAATGACTGTCAATTACAAGTTAAATTACATCCAGTGGTCTAGCCATGATAGAAAATATAAGGAGGGAAACATTATTTATTGCAGAAAGCAGAATTGTGGGTGGGGTGGGGTTATTCCCCTTTAGCATGCTCACACTGTGTACCCTTTGTTTATAGACTAAGTATTTTTTACCTCTTCATTCCTTAAAACTCCACTATTGACATAAAGGAAAAGTAATCACAAATTATAAAGAATGAAGACCTTTATTCTCCTAGAAATTAACCTCTTACAGATCAGCTGAGGAGATGAAATGAAAATTTAAATGGTGTGGTCTAGCTGACTAGATTTGATTAGTGGTTTTGCAAGGAGATTTCTTTTCTATGGAAATCTAAATACCAGTCTGAACTTCTTTTTTTCTTTTTATATTAATTTGTTAGGTGACATTAATAGATATTAAATGCTATTGCTACATGCAATGCATTGTATTTTTTTTCAATATGAAAAGAATATTATGTAATATATATTTGTAATTAAATTGAACTTTGGTTTTATATAGACAGTAAATTTATCCTGCAGAAAAGAAAAAAAAAATCTGCACACCATGCATGTGATTTTCCTATCGTACCTTCAGACAACCCTTCAATGTTTAATTTGTGTATCTCCAGTCAAATAGTGATTGAATTTATTTTGGATAATTTGCAGGATTCACAGATTATTTGCTGTCTGAGGAATGTGATATATTTGATCCTGACCAGAACAAAATTTGTGAGGACATGAACCAACCTTTGAGTCATTACTTAATTGCCAGCTCGCACAATACGTAAGTACAAGGAACCCCAATCAGAACCTATATCTTGATTCAACTCCATCAGAAGCCCAGTGCTTGTTAAGGATGATAGATGTTTTTTGGTCCAAAAAGTGGAAGAGACGCTCATGTTTAGCTGATGAGGAATTAGGTTTGTCTCTCCAAAGAACACAGAGAAAACTGTTATGAGACCCTGAATAAGGAAATAAGCAAATTCTTTTTTTGTAAGCTTCCTCTTTAGGGAATTCATTACAAATTCTGATGTGAGGACTTAATGGTATGGTATTAATAGATGTAGAGTGATGACAAATTACTCTGAAAAAGAGAATAGACATCAAAATTGAAAGATGAGAATTATATCAGGGTCCCTGTTATTATGGTGTCAAGAGATTTTTTCCTCAAATGATGTTTTAAGAGGAATATTGTCCATGTCCAATGGGTTTGAAATTCCTATCAATCTAGATTTCAATTAATATATTAATAGAAATAAATATAAATTTTACATTATTAGTATATTTACAGGCTTAATGCAAATAAAAATAATAAATGACTACTTCATTCTTTTCTTATGTATAAAGATTTTTTTTTTAAATTTGTATTATATTTGTTTTGTTTTTTTTCTGTTCAGGTATCTTATGAAAGACCAGTTGCAAGGTCCGTCTAGTGTTGAGGCTTATATACGTGCCCTTACGAAAGGATGTCGCTGTGTGGAACGTAAGTAGTATATACGTTCCTAGTGAGAAAAAAGGGGCGTCAGATGTAAGCTTAAATATGTGCCATTACCATAAGATGTAAGCTTAGATATGTGCCATTACCATAAGATGTAAGCTTAGATATGTGGCAATACCATAAAATGTAAGCTTAGATATGTGCCATTACTATGGGATGCTGCAATGTGGAATGTAGTTTATAACATACATAGCTACACAGAGTGGGTGGCCTATGAGGTATGGAATCTTATGTATCTGCCATTACTGTCAGCTATTGCTTCTTGGAATATCAGTAGTTTATTCTATAAGAGAGAGAGAGAAAGAGAGGGGGGTGGAGGCTCCATACTTGTATGACCTTACTTGTATGTCCCTACTAAATTAATATCTCTATGTAGAAGTGTCAGTTAAGTTTGAATAGTGAGAGAGAGGGGAAAAAAAAGGAAAGAGAGAATATCAGAAAAAAGGTATTTTGAAGGCCAGAGAATCTTGTTCATATACATGCAGGCAAATTATTTTGAAATCCTGGGATATGAAAGTTTTTACTGGGACAGTATTATACATCATTACGGAGTGGTGGGAAAATGTTACTGGTAATTAGTACATTCTATTTGAGGATGAAGTGCCTTAGATGTTCACATGGTGATATAACTACATCACCAGAGTGTACTTACATCTTTGCATTGTTAAAAATGTATGAATGGTAAATGCAATTGTGATGGGCTATTCACAGTCACTTTACACATGATTAAAGGCAAAGATGTTGAATGTAGCTGTAATGGGGTGGGGGGATGATTAGGTTTTGCCTGCAGTGCAAAGTAACACTTTGATCACTTCACTTGGTGTCTGTTAGTCTGTCTGTGACACCCCCATTTTCTTATGAACCTATGAGAGGAAAAATAAGGGATCTAATATATATATTACATATGTTTTACTTGACCTCAGGGCTTAAATAAAAGGCTTACTATCTTTTTGACATTAATCTTGAATTTTGTGTAACTTTGAGGAAAAGAAAACCTTTTTTTTTAACCTGTGAGAGGTAAGGCTGTGATATTTATAAATCGCAGTCCAATGTCACATGACCTTTTTAAAAAAATTTAATACATTAGTTTTTGACCATGTGCTGTGGAATTATTGCCTTTTTGGCCTTATTTTAAAAAATAATTAATTCTTCTCTTATACCTTTGAAATTGCAAAAGGTCAAGTTTTGATATTTAGCATGTATATAGACTTTATAGAGTGTTTTATGGAGTGCTGTGACCTTGAACTTTAACACACTTTAAAAGAGAGGGAGTTATGCCCTGCCTTTGATGTTTAAAATGTTTTTCACTCCTTAGCAGGTCTTTCAAAAAGAGTTTCTGAAAATGTGATCTTTGACATTTATATTTGTTGGTCTTTGGTTTTTAGGAACATTGTTTCCAGTAAATAATATCCATGCAAACTGCCACTCCTTCTAAAGTTTTGAACCAATTTCAATAAAACTTGGTACACAAGTTTACTACACCAATATATATATAGGATAGATGAGGATTTGATATGCAAGATTTCAATTAAGGACACAGGAAGCAAACAAAGAATTGGTAATTTAGATACATGGATTAGTACATGTATATATTTTTGGCCTTATTTGGGTTGTAAATGATGCATACATGTATATCAAATTTCTAAAATGTCAGGAAATTTTAGACTTTTTTCCTTTCTTTTTGCAATCACCTTTATAAATCTATACAATTTTTTTGTTATCACTTTATAGGGCATTATTGAAAAACTGAATTAAAAGTGGCTAAATTTATTCATTTTACTTATATAAACATAGATCTTTATGATGGCCTTTTTTGCTAAAAACTATCAGAGTTTAATGATCAAATGTGCAACCTTCATCTTAGTCTAGAATAAAACCATGTTTTAAACAATCTTTTACATTTCTTTCAATTTTTACTGGAAAGATAACATCAATTTTGAAACAATCCTAAATGTTGCTTTGCCAGTGATACTATTGTGTGTTCCTTATATAACAATCTAGCTGGCATTTAAAGAGTTAATTCTCTCACATTGTTAGTGCAGTGGCATGGGTTTATTTATCAGTGTACTGTTGCATAAATTCATGCGGAGAGTATTTTTTCAATGCCACTAACTGATGTTTACAGTACTCCCCAGAAAACAGAAATGTAGGGCAAACCGTGTATCTCAGATTTATGATCAGTGTTGATTCAGGCATTGCCAGTTGTTATTTTGGGAATAGAGTGTGAAATCTATCTTTCAGATGTATAAAAGCAGTGACAGAAAGTTCGAGTCTGGGGGTCTAATCATCACAGATCTATGTTATTATGATGAGAAATGTTAGGGGTAATAGGGGATTAATTGTAGGACAACTTGTATCCTATGTTTTCCCCTCCAACACAAGTCTACTTTTGTCAGACAACACATTCCTTTTCCTGATCAGTGTAAAATCAATTTCTTAATTGCCTACAAGTAGTGCAACTGTTGTAAGCTACATTTAAAAAAGTAATTAGCGGTCTGGCTTGGAGGAATATGGACACATTTTACTCAAACTCATTAAAATAAGATGAGCATTTTTTTTTTTCATAGGAATGTCCTTTCTGTACTTATTGAAGAGTCAGTTGTAAGCATATCACACAGGCATTTGTAGTACGCATATCTTTGTGTGTTATATGAACATATGAACTTGCAGAGAACGAATATTGTCATTTCTGCAGGAAGCTTTTAAAAGGTTTAATGCATTCTATAAATGTATGTTCAATATGCATTTCAAAAAGTGTTGAATAAAATTAAGTAAATATTAGATACATGTATTACTGAACATATCTTAATTATTGGAAGGTGTAGAATTAATAAAGTACATGTACATGTATTTGTTTAACATGCTTGAAGTCAAATCAATCACAATGTAAAGACTGTATAATTTGTTTTAGTGGATTGCTGGGATGGACCAAACGATGACCCCATTATTTACCACGGACATACCTTCACCTCAAAGATACAGTTCAAGGCCGTTATTGAAGCCATTAACACTTATGCATTTGAAACCTCTGAGTAAGTTCTCATTTGAAAAAAAATCTCAATCATCTTCTAAATTTAGTTACAAAATAAAGAAAAAGGACAAAAGCAGAACTGAAAATAAAACAGCAGTCTTGGCCTTCTTAATGATAATATTAAAGAAAGTAGTAAAAAGGGAAAAAATCTCCATTTTATGAAAAGCTAAGGAACCTGAGAATTTCAAGGACAGATGTTTTAGTTTGCCTTTAGATTTTTATCATATATGCATGGTGGCCATTAATTGATTTGAGTACATGAGTAACATATGGTGACTATTCTTTGAAATGGAAGTCAATGACAAGCTTTTTAGAACTAAAGGTAAGGAGAAAAGTACTTGAGAGTGTGGTATTGTTTTTCAGGTATCCTGTGATATTGTCAATAGAAAACCATTGTAACATCAAACAGCAGCAGGCGATGGCTGAATACATGACCTCAATATTTGGAGATAAGTTGTGTAGTGAGAGTGTCCCTGAGAACGAGACTTGTCTTCCTTCACCAGACTCTCTCAAAGGAAAAATACTTATCAAGGTAAAATAGGACATAGGATTCCACTTTAAAGTTATGGGATTTCCCAGAGTTTATATTTGTCGGCACATATATATACATTGTAGATCACAAATTTGTGTATGAATCCAAAATTTTTTTAGCTTTAGTGATGAAATTTATGTGATATGCCCCAAAGCAAAAGTTTATAGATTTCTCATATTTATATACATGTACATTAGTTATGAATCCAAGATCATGATGAAGAGTTTGAACCTTTTGTGTGATACAGGGTAAGAAGTTGCCTCCTGACTCAGAGGACGGGTATGTTACAGATGAGGATGAAGGGGCGGAGTCAGACAAGAAGAAAAATAACAAAACCAAGGTTTTCACGTGTTTTAAAAAGATGACTTTCTTGACAATTTGACTTAATAAATGTGCTAATACATGTACAGTATATCAATGTTGAATATTGATGTCTAAGGTTAACATTATTTCTTTGCTTTACTGAAAGTAGAACTTGTTATAGAATTTTAAAATGTTTTGAAATAACATCAAATTCATTGTTAATATTAGATACAAGAAAATGTGAAAGTATATTAGACTAAATTGATTGTGTTACAGGATCACCCAGTGAAGAAGCACAAACTGGCTAAAGAGTTGTCTGACTTGGTGAATTATTGTGTGTCCACTAGATTCCATGACTTCCAACTATCCCAAACAAGTCGTATGTACATTTATATTGGAAATTTACGTTCTTTTTCATATAGATTTAGTTTCTCTAAATATGAGAATGGTGCCTCCCAAATGAAAACAACTAGATATTGATAATTACGGGGCATGGATGAAATATATATAAAGTGCATGATATTGGAGAAAAAAGTAAGTGATAAAAAAATTCCCCCCCATTGATTGATTTCTTAACCTATCAATTATTAAAAATTGCAGAGAAATACTATGAGATGTGTTCATTCAGTGAATCCACTGCCATCAAACTGGCCATGAGTTGTCCTGAGGAGTTTGTAAACCACAATAAGAAGTTCCTGTCACGTATTTATCCCAATGGAATGAGGGTGGACTCCAGTAACTATAACCCACAGGACCTCTGGAATTGTGGGTGTCAGATGGGTGAGTGCGAAGTCGTGAAGTTACTGGGGAGGGGAAAGAAGGGGGGGAAAGGGGGGATTATATACAATAATATGATGACAGGTAATTGAGAGAGGATTGCATTTAATAAAATTAAACAGCAGTATTTTAAAGAAAAAATTATTTCCAATTACTGACAAGTTACATCTTTGGACTTGGCATTTCTTAACAGTTTTTTTAAAGTGATAGAGGAATTTGAATGATAAAGTATTTGAATCTGGAAGAGAAATTGCACATCCATGTATCTATAATCTGTTTTGAAAACTTAATAGCAGAGATGTGTGTGTTTATTACAGTGGCCTTGAATTATCAAACCCATGGTTTAATGATGGATCTATACCATGGATTCTTTCGACGTAATGCTAACTGTGGGTATATTCTAAAGCCAGCAATTATGAGGGAGGAGATTGCGTACTTCAGCGCCAACACAAAAGACGTCATTCCAGGGGTGTCACCTCAAATATTGCACATAAAGGTAAAATGCAAATTTACACTTGATCAGTATGTACTTAAAAACACCTGGATTACAGAATATGTTACATTATGTTTATATGTGTAGGTTATCAGTGGACAGCATTTTCCGAAACCCAAAGGTTCTGGTGCCCGCGGCGATGTCACAGACCCATATGTTACCATAGAGATTTTCGGCATCCCTGCTGACTGTGCAGAAGAGAGGACCAAAACTGTGCCCCATAATGGTGAGTAGGCCAGGACCTTTGTACAGAAAACTTTTTATTACTTTATTTTGGTAGTTTCTTCATCCAGTTAACAATTGATGAACATCAGGGTCACATTTCCCAAAAAAAAAATATATATATATATAAGTTGTAAATCCATTAAAGTTTCATCTAAAAATTCCTCTGGTGTCCAAGTTAAGTTTTACATAAATAAGTAGTTAATGCTACTTTTACCTGTTTTTCTCTTGTAGGATATAGTCCCATATTTGATGAGAGTTTTGAGTTCCAGATTAACCTTCCTGAGCTGGCTTTGGTTCGGTTCGCTGTCTTGGATGACGATTATATCGGTGATGAGTTCATTGGACAGTACACCATTCCTTTTGAATGCATGCAGACAGGTTTGTTCTCTTATTACAATTTACAGGATTTGACATAAGTTTGTCAATACTTCAACAGGAAAATATTGAGCCATATATGATTTAATTTCTATTTAAAATTGGCCCAAAGTTATTTAGCCAACCATAAATTGTAGCTTTGTTAGAATTACCCAGTTTTAAGATTAATCAGTATGGAAAGGGTTTTAGATTAATTAAGATATAAAAATTTGAATACAGAACAGATTTAGATTTAAAAAAAAATTAGGTAAAGATTTCTTTAGGTATGCAGATTTATATTGCAAATTTGAAATATTTTTAAAAAGGTTAATGAAAAAGTTGTTGATATATAAAAAATCGTTTTTCAGGATACAGACATATTCGTTTATGCTCCAATACAGGAGAGGAGATTCCTAACTGCACCTTGTTCATTCATGTGGCAATCACAAACAAACGAGGAGGAGGGGTGAGGGAAATACTTCACATTTAAAGTTTTTTTTTGACCATATTTTATTATTTATGTTACATTAAAAAATTAGGTGGCAGGTGTTACCTTTATGAGCCTTTTGCCATATTGGAGAGGCATAATGAGATTTGTTCTCTCTTGTTCACAATTACGGTATTTTAAAGATTGTGCAGTTCATGAAATTTTTTTCTTTCTGTAGAAGGCACACAAGCGTGGAATGTCGGTGAAGAAGAAAACCAAACGTGATTACACCAGTATGAAGTCAGTGGGAGTGAAAAGCATTGATGAAACATTCAAGGTATGGTGAAAAGGGTAGATTAAATCTTTAGAACATGCTCAACCTTCAGTATTTTGAACTGTTTGATTTAAAGTAGATTAAGCCAATCATTTGTATTATCTGAGAATTTACTTTCTTTTCTGTTTTACCATGCAACAGTGTGGTTCATAAAGGTAGAAATTTGTCAGAAAATATTACACCGCTTTTTCAAGCACTTGAAAAAGAATTATGCAGCATTTTAAAACATTTTGTGGAAGTTGTTGAATAGATATTTGAAATTTTTCCTGTAGGTTGCTATTCAACCACTGCGAGATGGCACAGACCTCAGGGATAATGTACAGATAACTCTAGCTGACTTCAAAGAAACTTGTGGGTTATCTCCTATTGCCAACATCAAACAGTGCTTCCGTTTAATGGGTACCAGGCTATCCAACTCCACTGAGCAGGCTAATCTGACCCTCGTTATGAGAGGGGAGGTAAGGCATGATGCATCACTGATGTTAAAAGCTTTTTATATTCATTCACTCATGTCAGTCTGTTTTTGTTAAAAAAAATTAGATGCTACATAATCATGTATTAAAACATAGTTTTTATGTTTGTATTGCCTGATTGAATCAACTTGTATTAGGGCATCATGTAACCGATCCATCTTGTTTATCCTTTTGTAAATAAAAAACCCTTCAGTCTATTTTATTTGCTCTGACAAATTGTTTACAGATCCATTCTCTTTCCACAAGACCAACAATGGGATATGAAATCCATAATCCTTGAGAGGGCATCTCTGTTTGTTAAGCTAAATGTAAAATGATGAGTATTCATGTACTCAATGCTTCAGAAAGTAGAGCCATGGGGAGTGAGATTCTTCGTCATTATGACTATAATTTATGAGACTGCCCTTTGTTGTTTTAGTATCCAAGCCTAGAAGCTCAAGGCAATCTGCCAGATATTTTGAAGAAAGCCCTCCTCTCCTTTGATGAGGTTTGTGTCCATATCCAGACTTTAAACATGTATTTGATTTGTCATTGTTTTTGTATTTTAAGTATGCTGTACTACAATTTATTGATCTGTAGAGACCTTGGCTAAATTTTTTTTATTCTTTTCTTTCAGTTGGTGGCAGAAATTAAGAATTTACTTGAAAATGCAGACACAGTTTATGAAAGGGTAATTACATGCATGTTTTTAATGTGCTTCCACTGAGGGTATTCCGTTATGTTCTGCAGTCAATAAATATTGAAAGTTGCAAGAACTATTGTAATTCATTACTCTACCAGTGCAAACAAACTTGATGATGGTGGTTTGTGTTTAGGAAGGGGAAGGGAGAGGGGACTATACAGTATAAGCCAGCAGTTATCACAACATTGCCAATATGACTAAAAATCCTCTGTTAATGATTTGAAATGTTTGAAGTGTCATAAGATTTTTTTTTTATCATAGTTACTGCATTGCAAGCGAGCTGGGATGGAGTGGCATGAAGATTTGGAGAATATTTGCCAGCAGTCAGGCCTGAAGGGCAAAAAGTTATCAAAGGTATCATAACACAAAGAGATTTAAATATCTAGATTCTTCTCTGTAGGTTTTATTTGAAATGTAAAGCATTGTTTGTGTAACTCAATACAGTAAATTCTTGTTATCAAACTTAAATATATCAAATTCACAGATAGTGATTTTTTTTTAGGTTCTCTGCAACCTTCTGAACGATTCTTTGTAATATTTTATAGTTATAATGAACTCTGATATAAAAATTGTATGGAGAGTTGATTTTATGTCTCATAGAGGTTAAGGATAAGGTAATTTACATCTTTTATAACAAATTTTTAAAGAGTCTCAGTACAATGAAACTTCTCTAAACTGGCCACCTGCTGGACCAGACCACATGGCCGGATTAAAAGGATTGCTGGTTTTTAGCTCACCTAAGCCGAAGGCTTGAAATATCAAAAAATTAATGGCATCATTGAAAAATCTTACTCTCAAGAACCAATGAGCCAGGAAAAATGAAACTCATGTGAAATCATTGTCAGGTAGTGTAGATTCAAGTTTGTTCAAATCATGACCCCCAGGGGTAGGGCGGGGCCACAGTGGACGATCAGAGTTTAACATTGGGGTATGTAGGAAAAATCTTCAAAAGTCTTCTTCTCAAGAACAGCAAAGCTATGTTTGGTCATATTTATATGGAAGCATCCCCAGGTGGTGTAGAATCAAGTTGGTTCAAATTATGACCCCCGGGGTAGGATGGGGCCACAATGGATGATCAAAGTTTAACATTGGAGTATATTGGAAAAAACTTAAAAATTCTTCTTCTCAAGAATAGGAAAGCCATGATTGGTCATATTTATATGGAAGCATCTGCAGGTGGTGTAGATTCAAGTTTGTTTCAAATCATGACCCCCAGTGGTAGGGTAGGGCCAAAATGGACGATCAAAGTTTTACATAGGAATATATAGGAAAAATCTTCTTCTCAAGAACAGCAAAGCAATGATTGGTCATATTCATATGGAAGCATTCTCAGGTGGTGTAGATTCAAGTTTGTTCAAATCATGACCCCCAGGGGTAGGGTGGGGCCACAATGGTCGATCAAAGTTTTACATAGGAGTATATAGGAAAAATATTAAAAAATCTTCTTCTCAAGAACAGCAAAGCTTTTATTGGTCATATATGAAGCATCCTCAGATGGTGTAGATTCAAGTTTGTTCAAATCATGACCCCCAGGGGTAGGGTAGGGCCACAATAGGGGATCAACGTTTTACATAGGAATATATAGGAAAAATCTTCTCAAGGAATATATAGGAAAAATCTTTATAAATCTTCTCAAGAACAACAAAGCCATGATTGGTCATATTTATATGGAAGCATCCTCAGATAGTGTAGATTCAAGTTTGTTCAAATCATGACCCCCTGAGGGTAGGGTGGGGCCACAATGAAAGTTCAAACTTGTTCATAAGGTGTCAATTTTATTCACTCTTGTTTGAAAACTATTTAAATCATTGTAGATTTATGAGGATTTGACATAGATGTAGGAGCCCCTGGCATAAGTTATGGCAATTCATCCTTTATATGGTGCTGGCCTAGACTTTTTATTTTGGCTGATTTTGAAGGGGTGCTGGTATTTTCAGGGTTGCTGGTTTTGCGAAGTTTCACTGATATTACAAATATTAAATTGACATTTTTTGAATTACGGAACTTTGTGATTTGCAGGCCATGGAGAATTTCTCCTGGAATATAAGGGTATTAAAAGGACAAGCAGATTTAATCAACCAAGCCAAAAAAGAAAGCCAAGAATATCTCAGACAAGTGAGTCATTTTCTCTTTCTTAAAGCTCAGCTATTTTCTTTCCTTGGCTCAAGTTTTTAAATCTTAAATAGCCAGAAATATAGCAAAAGACAAAAGCACTGAAATTTGTAATTTTTTTCTTTATTGGATACATTTTTTATTATCTTTTAATCTTTTTCTAGAATTAAGTATTAAAGCAAAATAGTAGCCAGTGAAGGATTGATAACTTTTATTCACATATTGGAAAAATATCCATGAGTTTTGAAATCTTTTTCTGATGAATATTTTAATTCTCACCACAAATTATTTATTTAATTATGTATTTAAGTAAAATGTCTCATCAGTCACAAAACTTTATGTTGCATGATTTTAGATCATAAACGAAAGTTGTTACAAATAATAGTAGGTTGCCATTTTGGACGTGAAGAATTTTCAAATCCTCCACTTTAGATCACAGAAGCAGCACAATCAATGGGGCTTGGGAAATTCAACGACAGCCAATCAGATATACCAGATGTCCTGGACAGTCCATTATGATGTAGAGTCCGTCACCAAAAAGCTGTGGTCTCAACAGGTGCCACTCTCAAGGAATGCATATGTCATTGAACCACCAAGCAGTTCTGAAACAACCTGGGAAATCAAGCGTTTACACCAATGTCAGAAATTATACATAATACATGTACCATAATATCTATTGATTTGATATTGCTGCCAAAAACAATGTACAAAAAAAGGTAGTGTGTTGCTGGCCAACATACCAAAATGTCAGAATCTCATGTGATAGTATAGAGTCTGTGTATTCCTATTCAGACTGCATTTCTTCTTGTTCCCTAGTCGTCCCCCCTTACTTACCATGCCAAATGCTTATATACTAGATAAGTATAGTGTATTTATAGTGTCCGAATACTTTTTGGGGTGTCCAATATTTCATTGGTATTGTTTGATTATAAAATTCTTGTTGATATATATATATATATATAAAATTACTCATGAACACAATATTATTGTATACTCTGAAGACAGGAGGGAAGGATTTCTTTGTTAATATTATCAGACTCTTCTTGTGTTCCTCTGTGATCTAGTCTAACTCTTGCCAGGTCTTATGAATGTACAGCTGTGATTCATTCTAATTCAGATGAGATTGTGGTGTTGAAGGTTTCTAACAGTGTCCCATTCAATAACACATCAGGAGTCACTCTGAATTCATTGTTCATACAATTTTATTTTTTTAAAAAAATCAAATTTCAAGAAAATTCAGTTATTTTCCTCCAAAACCCATTGCAGCTTTCTTGCATATTTTAACTTGCCAATCAAACTGAAAGATAGTAATTATTTTCCAACCAAACCAATTAAGGGTATCTTCATAGAATTTATTGATGCAGTTGTAATTCAAAAGATTTACTTGAATGTGATCTCCAAAACCCCAATGACTTTTTCTCTGTTTTATAGCCTATATGTTTTAATGACTACATTGATCATCTTCTTATGTTTCATTGATACTTACTTGATAAGTCTCAGATTTCAGGACAAAAATCTGGAAATAAGGTAAACTTAGTACATATGTTGCAGTTTCTTAACAAATGCTTGGAACCTTTCCGGTGTTTAATGGACAGATTTGTTTCTCATACCATTGCATCATACCTGATAATAAAACATGAGCAACATGTAATTCCTTCATCCATGTCAATAAACGAGTTAACAGGAGATCCAGTTAGATGTGCCTATTATTAGATCTTGTGACATTAAGAAATTCTACTCCATGCTGTGTGATACAAATTTTTATATATCACTCTCATTACTGTCTCTCTAATAATTTTTCACTCAAGAGCAATTTTTGTATTATACATGTATTATTTAGGTAACTAATTAAACAAGTGTTAGATGTGGTGTAAATTGTGCAGGTGGTGAATGTTATTTGGTATATACAGTACATGTAACAGTGATATTATGAAAATTGTTGGAAGCGTGTGACTTAACTTTCAGAAGAATTCATACTGCATATACCCTTGCATCTACAGGTCTACATGAAGTGATTTTCATAATTTACAATATACTAGACATTTCAGGAGTAAGTTATAAACAACAGTCAAAAGTATAGAAGCTTGGTTGAAGTTCTCATTTTTTTCCCCAGAAATTTTACTTTAAGAGCTGTAAATTACATTTTATATTATTAAGAGCTTGACATTTATCCAAGATTCCAGGCCTTTGGTTTTAATTTTCTCTGCTTTATAGTAACAAAGGCCACATAAGTCACTCAGGTGACTTCTTTTAACTGTGTTCATCAGTTACCATCTGTCATAATTTTTTTTTTTCATTTTCCAACTCCTTTCTAGAACCATTTCACAATGCAGTGTCAATTACTTTCAAATACAGTGTAGAATTCATCCATTTATTATTGATGGAATAAGTGTATTTTATTGTTTTGTTTTTTTTCCTCTCATGTTTCCAATCCTCAAAATGATGAGTAAATTACTGAAGTTGATAGAATTTTGTATTTAGAAAATTTAAATGCTAAACACAAAGAGATTTGGAGGAAAATAATTGATATATGTTTGTTTTGGTTGTCATCATCTGTCTCTTGTTTGAGAATCAGTATCTTTGTTTCCTGTGCAAAATAACATCACATGCAATATTAAATAAATGACCTTTTATAATGGGCAAAGTTAGTAGAAAAGTAGTTCAAAACCATGTTTTATTTATCAGATTTAAAAAATGTTAGATCATTTTTAGCTCTACTGGTTGAAGAACAGAAGAGCTTATGTGATAGTAAGGTGTCTGTTGTCTGTATGTATGTGTGTCCATCTGTAAACAATTTTTCAAAACCCTATTCCTCCTACAGTTTTGCTCAGATTTCAATATAACTTGGCACACAAGTAGACTACACTGAGATACATAATTCCATATATCCGTTTCCATGAATGGTGTTTCCATGGTTACTAAAAATAGAAATTTCTGTGAAATACTTTCAAAATGCTACTCTTCCTACAGTTTTGGTCTGATTGTAATATAACTTGGCGCACAAGTAGTGATTGCAATAAATCTTGCCACAAAAAGGAACTTAAAGAATCATTATTATTGCTGTTGCAAAGTTTCAAGTCCAAGTGCTACTTTTCTCTTTTCCTTTGTTTTAAGTACAAACCAGTAGAGTACAGAGCTACAGTCTCATCAGAGACACCTGTTTACATCCTTTAGTAAATAAATGAATTACTGGTAAATTATCTCGGTGCATTTTGATGTTTGAATGATTAAGGAATTTTGTTCAGATAATGCTCATTTATTTGAAATGTCACTAAGGCTCTGTTGAGAGCTTGTCCCTTATACTGTAGTTATTATGTTTTCTGAGTTTTTTCTGAGTCAGAATTTTTCTTTATTATAGTTCTTGAGAGCCACATAAAGTATAATTTTATGCATTAAAAACTGGTATGATGTTCAGTGTTTGTAATGAGGGTAGAATGAGATTCATGTATTTCAATTCAGATAAATCCTTCATTGTGTTTGGTAACAAACCAAAAAAAAATCTATTACTTTAATTTCTCAAAGTTCCGTGCTGATTTTTTTTCTAAAGTCACAGAAAATTTAACAATGTTCTTCATTTTTCAATGATGTTAACAATATCAGGGGAAAACTATTGTAGAAATTATAGAGTAAAACTAAAGTGATTTATATGTATTTTCAAATTTTCATCCACCTTCTTTCTGTAAATTTGTGATCCATTTATCAATTGTATCTTTACATTTTTTCAATTGGTTACTAGTACTTCAGGAACATTTGAAAGTTACTGAAGAAAAACTTAAGATATCATCAAGGAACATCAAATTCAATTCTTGTAGATTTCATTATATTTTCAAATGTGGCAAGAAAGGGTAAAACACAGATAGAAAACTACATGTAATATACAATGTTTGCTTAATAAGAATTTGAGGAACTGTTTCAATTGTAGATAATTTAAGTTTTAAAGTTACTGAGGAAAGGATGGTTCATTCAAAATATGACGAAATGTACAGATGTAGCCTTTTTTTTTTTGTTTTACTTTAATTTTGTAATCTAGCTATTAACAATCTGAATATATAATTTTCAATTTTGTTTTAATTTTTTTATTGTAAAAGTTCTTGATGAGCATAATCAACTAATTTATATATACCTTTTCTCTGTTAACATGTATGTTTTCTTGATTGTTATTACGTATTATATAGTTTAAAAAAAAACCCTCATTTTTGAAATTAAGTTCTGTTGAATTTTGATGTGAATTTTATTTCTTGTTATCGTTTATTGATGTCGTATTTTTCTTTTTTTCTGGAGTATTAATTGTAAATAATGTTAATTAATGCCTAAAAATCAATATGAAGATTAAGCTGTGTACATATATGTGTGTATATTATTTTTGTGTCATATATTGTCCCAAAATGAGGAAGTGCTTAAGAAGATGAAACCTAACTGCCAGTTTTAAAAATGTGCAAATTGAAATGTATGTATTTATTTTCTTTATAGAGAAAGGTAAATTTACATATATACAATTTTTTCCCCTTAGTTATGATGTTGAAGCCATAGCATGTGCTGGAAATTGGCAAACCCTTTTTATTGATGACAGCTTTTGGTAAAGAAGAATGTTGTATCTATTTTTTTTTTATAATATTGATAAATTTATATCCATCAAATATTAAAAAACCAAAATGGACTGGTGGTCACTGTTACTGAATATTTTATCAGATGCACTAGTTCCCTTTTTCAATAATTAACAAAGTACATAATATAAATAAACCATGTTTATTGTTTATTAATGTCTGTTATAAATATCATTGTTTTGTTTTGACAAAGAGAGAGACAATAATAGCTACAGCTTTCATTGTTTTTGTTACAAAAAAAATAAGTGATGAACAATGTTATCTTTTCTTACAGCCACGATGTACAATGTAAAAGGAGAGATAGTTTAATAAATAGCGAAAAGTATTTTGCATTTAGTATATTATATATATATATATATATATATATATATATATATATATATATATATATATATATATATATATATATACATTCATCATTTTCACAGAAGCAATAAAATAATAAATAGATGAATTATGTAAAGGGTGTTTACGTTTTATTTCAAATAACCTGAATAGCAAAAAGTTTCAGGAAAATCTATATATACATTGTAACATGTTCTTAAGGATGTAGATTTGATCAATATTTACTTGTTCCTGTATAATTTAAAATTTCCAATAACTGAAGAACCATTGTGTGACTTTCTTAATGCCTAATGATGCTGTCCACTTCTAAATCAAATACCAGCTATAACTATATTTTTTGTCATTTTTTTTCCATCTATTACGTTTCTGCAAGAGCAAAGTATCATCTATTCTACACTCTCACGAAGTGTTGGAGATCTGTTTGTTCCGTTAAGTATTCTACACTCTATTCAATGAATTTTCCTGTCTGTGGATAGATTTGTGAAGAATTTGATTCGCCACCGTCTTAATATCCCTTTTTCTACCATAGAGGACACAGACAAGTATGCAAGCATCCCTTCATAGCATTCAGATTTGTTTGAATCGTTGCACGGGGTCTTGCACAGGTAGGAAAACAATAGGGGATAAAATTTTATAATGAAATATATAGAAAAATGTTTAACTTTGTATTCAAGAACTCAAATTGAATAATTTAATCGAAACTATTATTACCTAATTTGTTTAGATTAATTTTCCCCTCAAATAATGGACTCAGAGGAAAGGAATTGGGTAAAATTGGGATCAAATTTTACAGAATGAACATATATAAAAGAAAAAAAAATTGTCCTTAAAAGCATGGCCATGTTAGTCATATATGTATTGATTTTGTAGCATAATTCTGATGGAGAACAGGTTCGGGTGAGTATTGTGGCCCATGGGCCCTTGTTTCAAATTCAAGTCAAGTTAATATCATATCCAGGTATTTTATAGGTCTTGTTGCTGTATGAACCTTGTATAGTTGTCCTGGAATATTCCTTCTTATCTCAAGATTTCCACTCTTCAGTCTTTGCGTACTTTTGAGAGAAAAAATCCCAAGCTAATGTCAATCTGTCGAATTCTTTCACATGTGAAATAAATTGGATTGGTTGATATGGTAGAGTACTTGTACAAAAAATTCGCATCATCTCTTCTTACAATCGTTTTCACAACCAAAGATGTCGCCTTTGTCTCTTTTTAGCTCACCTGAGCCGAAGACTTAAGTGAGCTTTTCTGATCGAAATGTCCGTTGTCTGTCGTCGTTGTAAACTTTTCACATTTTCATCTTCTCAAGAACCACTGGGCCAATTTCAACCAAACTTGCCACAAAATATCCTTGGGTAAAAGGGATTCAAGTTTGTTCAAATGAAGGGCCACGCCCTCTTCCAAGGGAGATGATTATGAATTCGTGAAAAATTAATGGCATCATCTCAAGAACCACTCTGCTTGAGAATATGAAACTTATGTGGAATCATTGTGAGGTAGTGTAGATTCAAGTTTGTTCAAATCATGACCCTCGGGGGTAGGGTGGGGCCACAATGGGCGATCAAAGTTTTACATAGGAATACATAGGAAAAATCTTTAAAAAATTTCTTCCTAAAAACAGCAAAGCCATGATTGGTCATGTATAAATTTATATGAGAACATCCCCAAGTAGTAGATTCAATTTGTTCAAATCATAATCCCCGGGGTAGGGGGGCACAACGGGCGATCAAAATTTTACATAGGAATACATAGGGCCATAAATTCTTTAAAATAATGTTTGCTTGCCCTCTCCCGACCCAGGATGAAAAAAAAATGGGTCGATAGGTAGGTGGAAGTTTTTTTTCCTAGAAAATTTCACCGTTCACGGTAGCTCAGTCGGTAGAGCGCTCGCTCTGTGATCGGGAGGTCGTGAGTTCGAATCTCGGCCGCGACAGACCTAAGTCGATAAAAAATAGGTAGCAACTGTTCCTTCGCCATGCGCTCGGCACTTTGAAGTGAAAGTTGCGGGTCCTTCGGATGAGACCTTAAAAACCGAGGCCCCGTGTCACGGCAGGCGTTGGCACGATAAAGATCCCTCACTGCTCAATGGCCGTAAGTGCCGATTAAAGGTCAAAATTTGAAGCCCTTCACCGGTATATGGTGACGTCTCTATATGAGTGAAAAATTCTCGAATGGGACGTAAAACAACATACGATCAATTAATCAATCCTAGAAAATTTCAACATCAATGCTGATTTTTCAAACTATATTTTTCATAATGCATAAAAAAATAATTGCTTACTGGAGGTTATAAAAAGTTTTGAGTCCGGCCATTTTTAGCCATTCGGTCGGGAGAGGGCAACCAAACAATTTTTTAAAGATGGCCTAGGAAAAAATTCTTTAAAAATCTTCTTCTCAAGAACAGCAAAGTCATGATTAGTCATATTTAAATGGAAGCATCCTCAGGTAGTGTAGATTCAAGTTTGTTCAAATCATAACTCCCGGGGGTAGGGTGGGGTCACAATGGGGGGTCAAAGTTTTACATAGGAATACTTAGGAAAAATCTTTAAAATTCTTCTCAAGAACAGCAAAGCCATGATTGGTCATAATAATATTAAAGCATCTTCAGGTAATGTAGATTCAAATTTGTTCAAATCATGACCCTTCAGGAGAATAGAAGGGCCATAACTGGGGATCATAGTTAACGTTATACAAAGGAATATAAAGGGTATATCAATAAATAATTTTTTCTTAAGAACAGCAAGGCCATTATGAGTCATACTAATTCAAAAGCATCCTTAGGAAGTGTAGATTCAAGTTAGTTCAAATCATACTCCCCCTCCCCCAGAACCCCTTTTATATTTAAACTTTTGAAGATAGAACTGATTTCTGCTTTTTCTTAGCCAAAGTGCTCAGGTGAGCGATGTGGCCCCTGGGCCTCTTGTTAGCTCTATTGATCAAAGACCAAAAGAGCTTATGCGATAACAAGGTGTCCGTTGTCCGTCCGTCTGTCTGTCATAGCTGTCCGTCTGTCTGTCTGTCTGTAAACATTTTTTTTCAGAAATACTACTTCTCCTACACTTTTGGTCTGATTTTATTATAACTTGGCACACCAGTAGAATGCACTAAAATACATAATTCTGTACATCGGTTTTGATTTCGATGAACGGCGTTGCCATGGTTACCAAAAATTGAATTTTTAAACAAGAGGCCCAAGGTCCTTAACGGTCACCTGAGTATAATACAACAACTTAGAAGTTAAATACACTGATAGATGATGCTTTGTTGCAAGAGAAGTAGGAAGATCAGAATCAACAAAATAATTAGTCTAGTATTCAGTATCAACTCATAACTTAAGTTCTAATCTGTCCCCCACTTAACACTATCACCATGCAGACTATTAATAAACTATTAGTGCTTCTGTACTATTTTTAAACACATATTAAGACCTCTAGCATTGACCTCTCTTATGGTCTTTGAAGAACTTTTAATAAGATAAGTTATTTTTGTCTCATTTTTATTTATCTATTACTTACAGGTCTGCCTGATTATTAAAACTAAGAAAGTACTTTTTGAATTATACGATAAACATTCTTGCATAATTATCTTATTCTATTAACCTTTCAAATACATTATTTACAGTGATTAATTATCAAAGGTGAATGGAAAAGGAGAATAATTTCTCTCAGTAGAATACAAATTAATAGAGCCCTGCCCAGGACCAGAATACTTAGACAAATGGTCCAGATGTTCAAAAATCTGGTAGAAATACGCTTACTTATATCATTTAAACTTTTACTCAGTTTGCTTCCGATATGCCCAGAAGCAGAGAAGAATTTCACATGTACAATGCATTTTCACTACAGATTCAACAAAGCCTTACCCTAACACCAGAACCCAAGACCAAAGGTCAAGAAATTTACAAATTTGGAAGAGTTACCCTCATCATCATAACTTTGGACTTCAAAGAATTAACACTTTTCCACTATATTATCAAAAGCCCCCCCCCCCTCCTCGTTATGCCAGAACCCCTGAGCAGAGAAGAAGATTTTCAAAGAAATAATGCACTTTCACTATATGATCTATATAGCCCCACCCTGGGGCCAGAACCCCTAACCCTGGGGCCATGAATTTCACAATTTTGGTAGAGGGCTCAGTGCTAATTACAATGATGCCAACAGTTTGACTGCTTGATGTCCAGGAGTAAAGAAGAAGATTTTTAAAGATTGCATTATTTTTGGTGGTTTTAGCCCCAC